TATTCGAAAAGAGGCACAGAGGAACAGGTTTAAAAGTTAACTTTTTTTTTTTTTTAAGAAACTCCAGAGGATTGTGTTAAAAAAATACACAATACAGGTAGTCTGTGACTTACAACAGTTCATGTAATGACCCCGTTGAAAGTTACAACGACATTGAAAAAAAAATAACTTATGACCGTTTTTTTTCACACTTACGGATCGTTGCAGCCTCCCCATGGTCATGTGATCAAAATTCAGATGCTTGGCAACTGACTCCTATTTATGACGGCTGCAGTGTCCCAGGTCATGGGATCCCCTTTTGTGACCTTCTTACAAGCAAAGTCAATGGGGAAGCTAGCTTAACAATTATGTTAGTAACTTAATAACTGCAGTGATTTACTTAATAGCTGTGGCACAAAAGGTCGTAAAATGGGGCAAAATTCACTTAACAAATCTTTCACTGAGCAAAAAAAAAAAAAAATTGGGCTCAATTGCAGTCGTTAAGTAGAGGATTTATCTGTATAGGAAAGACTTGGTTCTTGGACCTAACTGGGGCTTCCCTTGAGCAATTTCCAAGCTCAATTGAGAAATAAATCCATGTGGAACATGATGTCGCATGAACCCAGCACATAAGCAAATTCAAAGCTTTGGTATTTTCCATTTAATTTCAGCTGTTAGATAAGGATCTTCTCAACTTTACATATATGTACAACACACCTAGAAACTGGGCAGGGGGGTTAAGAATTGGCACTTTCATTGCTGGGCCTGCCAAAGAGGCAAGTGGATTCCCATTTGAAAATGCAGCTTGCCTCTCCCAAAGTGAAAAACGGGGAACCTTGTAGGATGAAGGATGTCCCCCCAAATTCAATCAGGATTGCAGGACCCCGTTTTCCAGCTGCAATCACAGGTCCTCAAATAGGTCTCCGTTGTTTGTTTTGGTTGCTCTGCTTAAAGTTTCTAGCTACAAGGTTGCGTACAGACAAGCTTTTTCTTGTTAAGATCAACTTTTCAAAAACAAACAAAAACAAACAGGAAAATATCAAAAAATACCAATGTAACAGTTCAGCAGCCTCTAAGATAATCTTCAAAACAAACTAAGGCATGTTCGAAAGAAGTTAAATGTTACGATTAGGTCTTAAATGTTACACAAAACACAGGATTACATCAACCAGCAAGAGCCAACTTGCTCTGTATAAGCACATTATTCAAATCCAGGATTCTTGTTTACAAGAGCACTGGAGTCCTGTTAAATCCAACTGGCAGCCAGGTTATATATGGCAAAAATAGTTTCACAAAACAGATGAATTTTAAAAATCATTTCTTAACCTCTGGGAGTTTCTTCTTCCCTTCTACTTCCTTATTTCATGATCAGGCCAAAAATGCATCTATGATACAGCCCTATCATATTGCAATGTATTTGCTACTGATAATTTAATTACAAAAAAGGTTTGAGAGAGAGAGAGAGAGAGAGAGAGAGAGAGAGAGAGAGAGAGAGAGAGAGAGAGAGAGCACAAGAGAGAGAGAGCAAGAGAGAGCAAGAGAATGAAAAAGTATGAATGGATGATGGATGGATGGATGGATGATGATGGATGATAAAGATGGATGGATAGACTGACAGGCAAGGCAGGGCAGGCAGATAGCAGACAGTAGGGTATATTAGATTTAGATAACCTTTATTGTCATTCTTTTCCTGTGGGCACAATGGCACACATTAAAAATGAAATTTAGTTGCCTCCTCTCAAAGTGTACACATACATAGCCCATATTTAAAACATACTATACACAGCAAAGGTCTAACTTTACTTTGGTCCAATTTCTAGTCCCCTCTCAACCTCCCTAGATGACTTGAGCTAGTCCCTCTTAACACAAGACACAGAATGATCCAATAGTGATGACGTTAAGACCTAGGAACAGGAAGACCTAATCCTCTTAGAAGTGCGGTAGATAACTAAGCCTGTCTCAGCCCAAAACCCAGGGTGTAGTGGTGAAGATGCCAAACAGGAAGACCGAGGTTCTATTCCTTAAGTTCAGAAGCTGGCTGGAAAGAATACTGGGTCCAGCACTCTCAACCATAGAGAAACATCCGCTAACCACTCACTCCCACGTTGGACCAATCTGTAGGTTACAATCCATCACGTTCAATGCCCCCAAAATGTATGCATTATTTTTCAACATGCATTATTTGCAGCATTTCACTTCTAGTCTTTCTGTTTACAGTACGGTCTGATCCAAATATTTTGAGGGGCCACGTCAATTAGTTCTCGGCCGTGCTACCCACCTTCTAGAACAGGGTTGTTCAACCTCGGCGACTTTAAGACCTGTGGACTTCCAACTCCCAGAATGGCTGGGGAATCCTGGGAATTGAAGTCCACTAGTTTTAAAATTGCCAAGGTTGGACACCCCAGCTCTAGAGCAATGCTATCCTTCTCTCCGTATTCATACAGGCCTGATCCTACCGTTTCCTGTTCCTAAGCACTAGGAACAGGGCATTAAATGAAGCCACCACCGGACCTGTCTCCACTGTTGTAATTATATTCCCCCTACCCCCCACGATCAGCACAGCACTGCATATGTTCTTCCACACTGTTTATATTGTTGCTTTAATCCTCATAAGCCACCCGGAGACTTACCCAAATGGGTGGCTGGAGAGACTCAACTTGAGAACACAGCATTACACACACCTTCTACCACGAGGGTTAATAGGACCTGCAATTATGCACCAATGCATCATGGCCTCTGTTCTTTCTCTTTCACACACACATACACACACACACCAAACACATGGCTCATTTCTCCCTGTGAGGTCAATTTTTATTTTATTTTTTTTTGACTGAGGAGTCAATAAGAAATCTCTCAGAATGAAATCACTCAGAAACTTGTGGCAACCAACAGATACACATACAAGTTCTTGGAAATCACAACAAAAAAATCAGGCAACTTGTTATGCTTTGCTCTCCCTAACTCAAGGACATTTCTAGAGAGGTTTTTGGTTTTTTTTAACAGTCCCTTCAATAATTTACAATACTTCTCTATGCTTTCTTCCTGAATGTCATTTTAGTTCTCCTTTTCTTAAGAACTGTAACCTTCCAGATTACTTCTCTTTTCTACGTTACATAAAAATCCTTCACACATTTTTATGGCCCAAGTATTTATACTTCTGAAACTCTTTCCTTTATGGGCAGTTGAAAGTTGACATTTTTTGGTACATGTTCCAATCTTGACATATTCAAAATCTTAGATAATCTTTCCCCTTTTCCCAAGTTTTTTTTTTTAAGGAGACATTTTCTTTTCTTCCCAGCTTTTGTCAAAAGCTTGCAATTGCAAACATTGTAGATGGCAAGCGAATCCCATTGTTTCGGTAAGGGAAAGCCCAATTATTTGCAAGATCCATTGATGCAGGACTGATTCACACATGCTAATGCCTCAGATGATTTAGATATGGTTTTGGATAACACCGGACACACCCACATTGCAAGAGCTCCTATGCACAATCCAGCTGTGTCTCTCCAGTAAGTACTTCCAATGCTCAGCCATTTCTAGGGTGCCACAACAGCTCCTATTCTTAAATCAGCCTATCTGCTTCGGCCAACTGGTACCACCTCATCACCCAAATATTTGCAATTTACTTCAACAGTTGCTGGGAAACAATGAAAAGAGTTAAGACAGCCCCTTAATCCAAATACTCCAGGGTTGGCTGCATAGCCTTAATCGGCTTAGTGAATTAATACATTTTCTAGTATTGCACAACACACCACCTCAGAAATTAACCAAATGATCTGGCTTCACACAACTTGCTTTGCTACAAAAAAAAAAAAAAACCCAAAAAAACAACAACCCAAACTTAAGCAGGTTGTGTGAACCAACCACATTAGGGAAACACCAGAGTTCCCAGGAAATCTGCAAAAGTTCTGGACAATTATCCATCCTATCCTTATAGAAAAAGACCCCAGGCGCTGAAATAAACTTCTCTCCACCATCTCACTTCTAAGAGGAAGAAGAGGTCCTTCTTGAGCCTCCACAAGTGGTCACCCCAAAAGTGGTCACCCCCGTAATGCTCCCAAAGGAAGTCCTCCAACCTCAAGTGCCTACAGAACCCATTGTCCCCATCCTGGATTCAATCTTCTCATCCTGATGTGTCCTCAATCACCCTGAAGTCTCTATGGAGAAGACAGCAAGGTCTCTAAGTCCTACCAGTGGGACCCTGGGATCCTTCCCAAGGGGGGGGGGGAAGCTAAATGGGGATCAATGGAAGCTGGGAGCACCAGCAAGAACCAAGGAAGCTGGAGGACGTTGGGCACATGGGCAATGTAGTCCTACCTCTCTAGAGGGTGACAGGAGCCAGGACCCATCCGAAGGGCAGGGGGTGGCTTATGAGCAATGTAATACCAAGTGGGGTGGGGGAGGAGAGAGGATCTGGGGCCCCCCAACACCTGGAAACCCCCCAGGGGCGTGCTGGGGATTACTGGAAGCAAGGAACAACAAAACTGGAGGACCTTGGGTGCATGGGCAATGTAGTCCTACCTCTCTAGAGGGTGACAGGAGCCAGGACCCATCCGAAGGGCAGGGGGTGGCTTATGAGCAATGTAATACCAAGTGGGGTGGGGGAGGAGAGAGGATCTGCCCCCCCAACACCTGGAAACCCCTCAGGGGAGCGCTGGGGATGATGGGGCCTTCAGGGAAGACCCTCCCCCGTGTCCTGCGACCTGATGACGATGGGCGATGTAGTCCTTCCTCTCTAGAAGGTGACAGGAGGCAGGACCCATCCGAAGGGCAGGGAGTGCCTTATGAGCCATGTAATACCAAGTGTGGGGGGGAGGCAGGACAATCTGCCCCCCCAGCAATCAAAAGCCCCCCCAGGGGAGCGCTGGGGATGATGGGACAGATCCAGGGGGCCTTCAGGGAAGGGCCCCCTCCCCTCCCTAAGCCCCTCCCGTGCCCTGCGAGCTGGGGAGAATGGGCGGTGTAGTCCCGGCTCTCCGAAGGCCGTGGGGGCGCCGGAACCCTCCCTCCCCCGCCCGTACCTGGCCGCAGCGGCTCGGTGATGCTGAGCACGAGGAGGAAGAGGAGGAGGAAGGTGCCGCTGTCCGCCTTGGGCACCATTTATCCTCCGTTCATCCTCCGCCAGCGCAGCCACATCAACCCCGCGGGGCGGGGGAAGACAAAGGGGAGGGCGGCCGCCGCCGCCGCCGCCGCCACGCCGCCTCCGGGAGCCAGCGAGGCCTCCGCCGCCTCCGCCTCCTCAGCCGCCGCCGCCGCCGCCGCTGCCTCGCTGAGGGGGTCCGCCCGCCCGCAGCTCCGCTCGCAAGATGGCGGCCGCATTGCCCCGCCGCTCGCGCCGGCGCGCCCCGCCCCTCCGCCGCGCGGCCAATCGGCGAGCCGCGGGAGGAGCCAGGCGGAGGGATTCATTTGCATAGGCGCGTGGCGGAGGAGGAGGAGGCGGCGCGCGCAGCAGCAGCAGCGGCGGCGGCAATGGGGGCGGGGCCATCGAAGCCGCTCTGGCTCCTCCCCGTCGCTCAGCAGAATCAGCATAGAAGAAGGAAGGCACCTTGGAGGTCTTCTAGTCCAGCCCCCTGCTCAAGCAGGAGATCCTATCGTACCATCTCAGACAAGTAACTGCCTACCTCATCTAAAACAACGTCCAGGGATGAAGCACCCATATCATCTGGTGGCAAGCTGTTCCACTGGTTCATTGTCCTCACTGTTAGCAAATTAATTCCCAATTGCTTCTCTCCTTGATGAGTTTCCATCTATTGCTTCTTGTCCTGCCCTCTGGTGCTTTGGAGAATAATTTGACCCTTTCTTCTTTGGGGCAGTCCCTCAAATATTGGAAGACTGCTATCATGTCAGCCTTGGTCCTTCTTTCCGTTAAAGTAGACACACCCAGTTGCAGCAACTGTTCTCCCAGCAAGGCAGCGGGTTCCACTTATTTCATGAAAGACCGTGTGCCAGCCGTGTGTATTTTCCTCTCCAAGTCCCTTAACAACATCCTTCCAGTGTTGCCCTTGTGATGTCATCCGGTGACCTCAGCTCTTCAAAACACTGCTGGGAGACCGAAGGCCAGTCTAGCCTGGAGCCCCTTTAGATGGTCTTCTCCCCACCTCAAGGAATGTGCCACTAAATGACAGTTCAGATGGGAGCTTGGCACGCCCCACCTTTGGCATCATGGACGATGGTGCTGTGCTTAAGAAAAAGGGTTATGTTCTGGGGAGCACCTTGGGAGAGAGTTCCTTTGCCAAAGTGAAATCAGCATACTCGGAGCGTCTGAAAATCAACGTGGCGGTGAAAATCACAGACCGGAGGAAAGTGCCCAGCGAGTTCCTGGAGAAATTTCTCCCTCGGGAGCTGGAGATTTTGTCGACCGTCAACCACTGCTCCATCATCAAAATCTACGAGATATTTGAAACGGCCGGAAAAGTCTACATTGTGATGGAACTGGGAGTCCAGGGGGACTTACTGGAGTTTATTAAGAGCAACCGGGGCCTGCCGGAAGAAGTGGCCTGTCGGATGTTCCGTCAGCTGTGTTGTGCGGTCAAATATTGTCACGATTTGGACGTGGTCCACCGCGACCTGAAGTGCGACAATATCCTCCTCGACAAAGACATGAACGTCAAGCTGTCGGATTTTGGCTTTTCCAAGCGGTGTTTCCGAGACGGGAACGGCAAAATCTTACCCAGCGAGACTTTTTGTGGCTCGGCGGCCTACGCGGCTCCGGAAGTGATCCAGGGGGTCCCTTATCACCCCAAAGTGTACGACATGTGGAGCTTAGGGGTGATCCTGTACGTCATGGTGTCTGGGTTCATGCCTTATGACGACTCCAACGTCAAAAGGATGCTTCGCCTGCAGAGGGAGCATCGGATCCTTTTCCCCGAGTTTCTGAGCCTGGAATGCAAAGATCTGATTTTCCGCATGCTTCAGCCGGACGTGTCTCACCGGCTACGGATCGAAGAGGTTCTGAACCACCCCTGGGTGCAAGGCAAGTCCTTCAAACTGCGAGATTAGCCAGATGGTAAAGTGCAAACATAAAATGTTATCCGGAATACTTATTGCTTTGCAGAAATGCAGTAAACCTGAAAATCTTTTCCTTCAGCATCCCCTTTGCAGCGTTCTCCTTGTTGCACCCTTCTCTATTTATTTCATGTACACAGGTAGTTCTTGATTTACATCCATTCATTTATTGACTGTTTGAAGTTACAACCGCACCGGGGGGGGAGGGGAAAGGACCTGTCCTCGTACTTACAACCGGTCACGTGATTAAAATTCGGGCACTTAACCACCAGCAACCATTTATGATGGTTGCAATGTCCCAGGGACCAGAATTTCAGCTGCTACGCTATTAAGGGAGTCACACCCAATTTTGCTCTCTTTTTTGGCCACTCTTTGCAAAATTTTGCTCTCTTTGTTAACCGCTTAACTGCAGGTTAAGCGGATCAGGTGGTGGTAGAGTGGATGTGGCTTTCCTCCCTTTGGTTTTGTTTGACAGAAGCCATCTGGGAACATCACAAGGGGGGTTCCCGTGGGATGCTGCCACCATCATCCATGCATGTCAGTTGCCGAGCACCCAAATTTTGATCCTGTAACCATGGGGCTGCTGCAACTGTCCTAAGTGCGAGGACCGGCCATTTGTTCGCTTCTTTCAGCCCCGCTGTAATTTTGAACGCTCGCTAAATGAAGAGTCGCCTTGTAGCGGAGATGGGCGGCCTAACAATTTAATAAATATAATAAAAAAGTAATTATAAGTTGAGGATTACCTGTACAGAAGGCAAGTGACAGTTCTTTAGAACTCAGTCATCAGTGAAAAGACATTGCCAACACCCAACTATAAACCCATCCGTTTGAAAGCACTGGAATATCCTTGCTCTCCAATGCACCTATCGTATATCATTTAATTTGGAACAGAACATATAGAACACCTTCAGAATTGGAAGGGACCTGGGAGGTCTTCTAGTCTGACCCCCTGCTCAAGCTGGAGACCCAAACCATTTCAGACAAATGGCTGTCCAGCCTCTTCTTAAAAGCCCCCCAGTGATTGCAAGAGATCACCTTAGCGACTTAGTCGTTGCCCTCAGGGGAAAAACTAAAATCAAACCTCTACACTTTTTCTGGCCCATAATGGAAATTGATGAGTTGGGTGGTATCTCTCTCCATCCCTACCATAAGGGTGGAAGCTTGGCAGGAGCGCGAACAACAAAACTGAAGGAAGAACACAGTAAACCCAAATTTGCTCCCATTGTGTTTGTTCTAATAAAGTCTCCTTCTTCTTCACTCATCCCGCAAGGAACTCTTATTTAGGCACCCATTAGCACTTCCATTTTCACCGCAACCCTCAAAAATCAGGTATAATGTGGGAAAAGACCCAGGTTATTCTCTTGGCCAACCGAGGCAGGATTTGAATGACAAATTTGCCTGGCCAAAGTTGAATCTTCTTAAGGAATGCATTTGTCTGTATTGCACGAATTACGATTCCCCTCTGGATATTGTTGCTACCCAAAGATCCAGGACAGATCGCTCCGGTTGCGTGGGCGTCTGCAGCTGGGTTTATTACAGCTCTCCCTTTAAACCAAAGTCCCTTCCGAATAATTTTGCACAACTTAATGGAGAAGAACTGTCACCTTTAGCGGGGAAGATTTAGCATCTCCCTGCAGACACACACCAAATGTTCCTCATTATCTAGGATGGTGGACATTTCAAAGCTCTGCTCCCAAGTGTCTGCTTGAGACACTCCGAGCTGGAATGGTTGATTTCCTTAAAAAAGAATCCTTCCTCTCACAGATGTGTTTATCAAAGCTTTGATGTACTAATCAAGGAGGTGGCTGTGCCTCATTGGTATGCAACTTTGGTTCCAACTGGATGTATTCTCCTTGAGAGGGACCTTAAGGAAAGAAAACTATTAGGCCAGAATTTCTGTTCCTGCATTCTACGGAGAGTCCCTCACTTAGCAACCGTTCAGGAAAAAGCCTCTTACTTTCAGGGAAACACGATAGTAAAATATTGGCTCAGCGTTAAGTTCCTGTCATGACTGACCTTAGGATATATCCATACATTCGAATGTTATGGTATATACATTCTTACTGGATTTATTATAAAAACCGGTTAAGAAAACAAAGTCAGAACCACGGACAGTTCCCTTCAGAGCAAATTCTGGGTGGTTTTACCGATTCTTTGGGATTCAAACTCTGCTCTTTGATTCGGCAAAATTCCCAGTGTAATTTATAAGAGAATGCAAATGTAAATGGCATAAACATTTGCACAACCTCCATAAAAAAGAATTTTAATGAGCCAAATGGTAAAAAAAAAAAACACAATGAACTGAGCCTACAGCTCTGAAAGACTGGGGCTCAGAAGAAGACACAATAAGACACAGAAAAGGAAGGAAGGAAGGAAGGAAGGAAGGAAGGAAGGAAGGAAGGAAGGAAGGAAGGAGGAGGAGGGAGGGAGGGAGGGAGGGAGGGAGGGAGGGAGGGAGGGAGGGAGGAAGGAAGGAAGGAAGGAAGGAAGGAAGGAAGGAAGGAAGGAAGGAAGGAAGGAGCAATCGCACTAACAGGGTCAGCATCTTGCCCCCAACAGTCTGGTTCCTCATTTTACCGACCTCGGAAAGATGGAAGGCTGAGTCAACCTTGAGCCGGTCAGGATCGAACTGCCCAACTGCTGGTAGCCGGCAGTCAGCAGAAGTAGCGTGCAGTACTGCCTTCTAACCACCGTGCCACCACGGCTCTTAATCCTAAAACAAAAATATGGGTATGCAGAACACAAGAGATTAGCAAAAGGAGCCCGTGTCTGTAGATACATACTCTGTCCAAGAGAGTTGAGTGATCCACTTAGGAAGTTCATCCACCATGTCACCACGATATAGGCTCCCTTGTTTGCTATCTAGTGCATCTTCAGTCAGGACCAAAACTGGCTTGGCTTTGTGACATCATGGAAGGATGTTAAGAATTCTGCTGCCTTGAACTTAAGGAGAGAAACACCATTCTGAAACATACATAAATCTGGACAGAGGTAGGTGATGCCCTGTCAACCTGACGTTCCGGGTCACCTCGAGAGACGATGGATGACGCCGAGGTGCTCAAGAAGAGAGGCTACATTATGGGCATCAACCTTGGAGAGGGCTCGTACGCCAAAGTGAAATCAGCCTATTCCGAACGGTTGAAGTGTAATGTGGCGGTCAAGATCATCGATAAGAAGAAAGCTCCCCGAGACTTCCTGGAGAGGTTTCTCCCTCGAGAGATTGAGATGTTGGCGAGGGTGAAGCATCACGCCATTGTCAAGACCTACGAAATCTTTGAGACCTCCGAAGGGAAAGTGTACATCGTCACCGAACTCGGTATCCAAGGAGACTTGCTAGAGTTTATTAAGAAGAAAGGAGCCATTCCCGAAGAGATTGCTCGTAAGATGTTCCACCAATTGGCCAGCGCCATTAAATATTGCCACGAGTTGGACATTGTTCACCGGGACTTGAAATGTGAGAACCTGCTTCTGGACAAAGAATACAACATTAAGTTGACAGATTTCGGCTTCTCCAAACGCCTGTCCCGTGACGAGGACGGGCGGGTCATTCTTAGCAAAACGTTCTGCGGGTCTGCTGCCTACGCAGCTCCTGAAGTGCTCCAGGGGATCCCCTACCAGCCCAAGGTTTACGACATCTGGAGTATGGGCGTGGTGTTGTTCATCATGGTCTGTGGCTCCATGCCTTACGACGAGTCCAACATTAAAAAAATGCTCAAGCTTCAGAAGGAGCACCGAGTCCACTTTCCCCGGTCCAAAGTGCTCTCGGTGGAATGCAAGGACCTCATTTATCATATGCTTCAGCCTGACGTCTCCCGACGGCTGTGCATTGACGAGGTTTTGATGCACATCTGGATGCAGGAACCCAAAGCCACTTCAGACTCCATGCTGACCAAGTCAGGCGAATGCTCGCATCATCAGAGCCAGATCCGATCCCTCTTTGGGAAGGAAACCGGTCCAGAGTTTTCGGAGAGCGAACAAGTGAAACAAGAAATACTGCACGAGGATCTCGAGAAGCTAGACAATCTCCCTGACCAGATTGAAAGGACTTCCCTCTGAAAAGAAAAAGAGAGAGACGTCATCTCAAGACATCTCCCCCACCCAAAAAAAAAAAAAAAATGGTTCCCAATAATGCCAAAAAACTCAATTGTGTCTTTTAAAGGCTCCGTTCTGGAAGATATTGAAAAGAGATGAAGGCTGGTTGGGGCAACAGAAAAGTCTGAAGCCCTTTCCCCTTATTTTGGAAGATCCGGGACCTCTAACGTCTCCATATTTCTATATTTCTTATTGGCACAAAATAAAAGAAAGCGTTTTCCCTCAGTTAATCTTCTCCAAATGAAAGATTATAGACCAGTTGATTGGAGGGGGGGGGGGGGTGATGGGACGATTTGAACCAGGATCTCTCTCTAACTTTGTAACTGGTGTTTGTGCTACCATAAAATCTACTATGTCACATCTAAGAGGCTGAAGACTTGTCTGTTGTAGCATCCACCGACATCTTGTGCTTTTTCTTTGGGTTCTTTACACTTTTCAGTTAGCAGCTTCTGTTAAAAAAAAAAAAAAAAGCCCAGAGGTGTATAAATTCCCTTGGCGTGATCGTTTTAAAACGTACAAATAAAATTGTAACGTCTCCCTTGAGTGCAGCTTGGCTCCTGGAGAAGTATAATCAAATGGATTGTCAGTGTCTCAATCTAATTTCCGAAAACATTTGGCACCCTACTCATTTTTTTTTTAACTCCATTATCAGGGCATTATACAATTGCTCCTCCTCCTCTTTCTCCTCTCTCTTGTTAGTCCTTCTCCTCTTCTTCCTTCTTCTCTTCCTCTCTTTCTCTTCCTTCGCCTCCTCCTCCTCCTCAACGGAGAAATTTTCTGACAGTGAGAACGATTAATCAGTGGCACAACCTGCCTCCAGAAATTGTGGGTGCTCCATCACTGGAAGTTTTTAAGAAGAGATTGGACAGCCGTTTGTCCAGAATGTTATTGTGTCTCTTTTTTGTGACAGCCTCTCAAATATTGGAGCACAGCTATCCTGTCCCCCCTCGTCCTTCTCTTCATTAAACTAGACATACCCAATCCCAGCAACCGTTCCTTATAGGTTTCAGCCTCCAGTCCCCTGATCCTCTTTGTTGCTCTTCTCTGCACTCTTTCAAGAGTCGCAACGTCTTTTTTTACACCATTATTAAAGTTCACACGGGTTGTGAGCTCATAATCTTCCTCTTCCAGTGTTATTCGGTATTTCAAAGATGCCTCTTACGATCCTGGAAATGGGTCAGAGCCATGACTGTTGATGGCCATTGGAGACTGACCCCCAAAACCATCTCAACTGGTGGGTCATCTACCACGGTGGCAGTCCCAACGATGCGAATCAACATTTCCTTCCACGCTTTTGTGTGTTCCGGCTTGTGGCTCATGCAATTCCCTTCCCTCCCCCCCCCCCAAAAAACAGGCATGATTTGATTTCTTTGCGGTTTTAATGAAAATAAAAATAACTCAAGGAGACCATATACCCTTCACTGAAAAGGAATCTTCACCTGAAAGAACGATGGTTGCTTAAAGATAACAAATGATTGAAACGGTTGATTCCATTTCATCACTTGTTATCCCCTACTTGAACACGGGGCTGGGCTGGAAGGCCTTCTAAGGTCCCTTCCACCTGTCATTCTGTTCTGTTGTTAACGTTTGTCACAAATTTGAGGAACTTTTAAAATCTGGCATATGGCTACAGAATAACTTAACAATGAAAGATCCGTGATAATCCTGGACATATTTCTTCAATTCTTCTCAGAATTTACAAGCAAGCCAAATTAAATCTGGAGAAGGCAATCCACAGTTTCAGCAAATACAGGCAGGCAATTCCCCTCCCCATCATTATAAACCAATCCAGAAAACAGCAAACTTAAAAAAGCCAATTTGCAGGATATCGAGGTATTTTCACAGGGGACATTGCCAGCAAAAGCATGGAATGAGATTTTATTTTAAATCTCTGTGGGACATTTAAATATGGTTTATTTCAATGAGGCCGAGCAAGAATGCTCCTGCCATTGGCTGGGAGGTTATCTGGGTCCAAGCAATGGAGATCAATTCACCCAGTATTTCTCTCAGCTTTAACTATAACAGACTATAACAGAATAACAGTTGGAAGGGACCTTGGAGGTCTTCTAGTCCAACCTCCCACTTAGGCAGAAAACCCTATACCATTTCCGACAAGTGGTTGTCCAATCTCTTCTTAAAATCTTCCAGTGTGGGAATACCCACAACTTCTGGAGGCAGGTTGTTCCACTGATTAATTGTTCTCGCTATTAGGAACTTTCTCCTTAATTCCAGGTTGCTTCTTTCCTTGATTAATTTCCATCCGTTGTTTCTTGTCTTGCTTTTCTGGTGCTTTGGAAACTAGGTGGACCCCCTCTTCTTGGTGGCAGCCCCATAAATATTGAAAGACTGCTATCATGTCTTTTCATTAAACTAGACATTCCCAATTCCAGCAACCGTTCTTTATGTTTTAGCCTCCAGCCCCCTAATCATCTTTGTTGCTCTTCTCTGCACTCTTTCTAGAGTCTCAACATCTTTTTTTACATCGTGGTGACCAAAACTGGATGCTGTATTCCACGTGTGGCCTTACCAAGGCATTGTAAAGTGGTATTAATACTTCACGTGATCTTGATTCTGTCCTTCTGTTAATGAAGCCTAGAACTGTGTTGGCTTTTTTGGCAGCTGCAGCACACGGCTGGCTCCTATTTAAATGATTGTCCACTAGGACTCCGAGATCCCTCTTGCAGTTACTACAATTGAGCAAGGTACCACCTATACCGTACCTGTACATTTGGTTTTTCTTGCCTAAATGTAAAGGCTTATTTTTCTCTATAGCGAATTTCATTTTGTTAGATAGCACCCAATGTTCACTTCTGTCAAGATCCTTCTGTATCTTAAGCCTATCTTCTGGAGTGTTGGCTATTCCTGCCTGCTTGGGGTCATCTGCAAATCTACCCCCTCATCCCAATGGGGCCAAGCAAGAACGCTTTTGCCATTGGCATGGAGGTGAGCTGGGTCCAAGCAACGGAGATCAATTCACCCAGTATTTCTGTCAGCTTTATGATGTCACATGGAAACAGCATCCGTTCAACAATGCTCAGGGTTCCATTCCAGCCAGCCTCCCAGAGCTTCCAAGGCAGGAAACGGATTATCTCCTGATGACCACACACCATGGAACAGACACTAAATGGCTGAATGCATACGTCAACCATGTGACCAAACATCTCATCACCACGGCCTACAGCATCATGGATGATGCTGCTATCCTTAAGAAAAGAGGCTACATCATGGGCGGGAATTTAGGGGAAGGGTCCTATGCCAAAGTGAAGTCGGCCTTCTCGGAACGGCTGAAGTTCGACGTAGCTATCAAAATCATCGACCGGAAGAAAGCACCTCCGGATTTCTTGGAAAGATTTCTCCCGAGAGAGATAGACATCTTAGCCAAAGTCAACCACCATTCCATCATCAAAACCTACGAGATATTCGAAACGTCCAACGGCAAAGTCTACATTGTGATGGAGCTCGGCGTTCAGGGCGACTTGTTAGAATTCATCAAGCTGAAAGGGGAGATGCCCGAAGACATCGCGCGCAAGATGTTCCGTCAATTGGGCACCGCTATTAAATACTGTCACGACAACGACATCGTGCACCGAGATTTGAAATGCGAAAACCTTCTGCTAGACAAAGATTACCACATTAAGCTTTCGGACTTCGGCTTTGCCAAGCGCCTGGTTCGGGATGAAGATGGCAAAATTATTTACAGCAAAACTTTCTGCGGTTCTGCTGCTTACGCAGCCCCCGAGGTTTTGCAGGGCATCCCGTATGAGCCCAAAATTTACGACATGTGGAGTCTGGGCGTTATCCTCTATATCATGGTCTGCGGATCGATGCCTTACGACGATTCGAACATCCGGAAAATGTTACGCTTGCAGAAGGAGCATAGGGTGCATTTCCCCAAGTCCAAAAACCTAACCATTGAATGCAAAGATCTGATTTATCGCATGCTTCAACCCGACGTGTCCCGACGCTTGCGCATCGAAGAGGTTTTAAGTCACATATGGATGCAGCCCGGCAAAATCAGAGCTGTGTCGGCCACTTCGGTCGGGAAAAATGGAGAGAGCTCGCGAAGTATGGCTGAGCTAAAACCGGAGCACCGATCAGAACGGGAGAAGAACCAGAAAAGTGAATCCAAACAAACCCTGGTCTCCACCATGGCTCCTCGGCTGGAAGCGGTCGAAGAAGTAGAGGAGGTCCCCGAAGGAGACAAGAACGACGAAGGAGTGGAGAAGATTGCCGAGGAGTTTGAGAACAATATCTGACGTTGTTCCTTCAACAGAAGCCCTCGCCCCAAAGCTAGCGTGACCGTCGCGTAACAGGGAGTCCAGGTAACCAGCTGGAGAGCGTGGTGTGTGGAATAAAGATGAGAGCTAAGCAGAAGACGCGATCTGAAACTAAAGAATCAGCTTTCTGAATCAGCACGTTATTGTAGGCCAAAGGCCGTTTTATTTAATATTTTTTAAACGGATAAAACACTAGGCTCCAGCTGGCAACTACTGGTCAATCTTACCCATGCATGGAGAAGGCAGGAAGACGGGGTTCACCTACTGGAATGGGAGAACTCGCTGTGGCCAACACGCCATAGAACAATTCAATAATTCAATTTAAATTTTTTTTAAAAAAAAAATAAAATAAAAAATGTTTTACATTTTTGTCATTTCACATTTCATTTTGTCCCTCCTTTGGCATCCTTGCTCTAAAGCAGAGGTCTTCCAACTTGGCCCTTTTATGACTTGTGAACTTCAATTCCCAGAATTCCTCAGCCAGCAATGCTGGCTGAGGAATTCTGGGAGTTGAAGTCCACGAGTCACAAAAGGGCCAAGTTGGAAGCTCTAAGGATCCTATTCCACCAATTTCTTTGATATTAGTGTGACTCTTGTCCTCTGGCGTGTTGGCCTGAGAAGAATGGTCCATGGTGAGGTGTCTCGCGGCGAGTTGTCCTGGACCCTCAACCATCTTCCCCCCCTCAAAAAAAAATCCAGTCTAACAGCCGCTGAAAAAACTGGCCTATGCTGGCTGTAAGTAGAAGCTGAGTGACCACTGGAAAGCTGGTCTACTACTCTTGTGTCACTTAGAAAAACTCCAGGTTGAGGAAATGGATGACCAACCCATCCTGATTCTCAAAGGATGGAAAGCCTTAAGTAAGATAAGGAAACAGCGGCAGTAGCTAAAAGGTTGTGAAGGTACTCCACAAAAGCCACCGACACTTGGCTTCATCGTCCTGCTAGAACAGAGGCCCCCAACACCCGGTCCACAGACTGGTACCGGGCCGCGGCATGCCGGTTCTATATTTATATTATATTTCATGTTATATATCTGTCCAAGCCCTGATCAAATCTACCTTCCCTTTCTGGCTGGCAATTCACTTCTGCTTTCTTATAACTACCGTAACCCACAAAAAGGCCTGCGGCAAGATTTTTGCCCGTCAGAGCGAAACGCCACAAATCAACCACTCAAAAACTAAAATGTGGAGTGTATTCCGTGCAGTGTCAAGTCACCCTCATCCCTAGAAAATCAGCCGCGTGCAAACTGAGTATGTTAAGGTCTTTAGACCTAAGGTGTTTATTTTCGGTCCTTCCACCAAAGAAGTTCAATTTCTTATTTGTAAGATGCAGATGTAAAAAGCTTCAAGGAGGATAAACAGATGCTTACAACAAATTATTCAAAGCCAAAGCAACTGAGTCTCCTTGAATGACAATGATGGCTGAAAGGTTCCAGCTTGCCATCTTTTTCACCGACTGTGCCACGAGCTTTTAATGTCACGAAAAAAATACATTTTTCCCCCGTTTCCCCCACCCCACTGGATTAAATCATATCTTTGCTGCCCAAGTTTTCAGTTTCTCAGTTTGGCTTTGAAATTTTTTTTTTTCAGAAACCTTGCCCAGCTCTTAATACTTTTGTTTGTTTGGGCTGGACTGGACTGGGTCCAAAATACAGGAGGCCACCGATAATCCTGCTCCAAGCGAGATTGAGTTAGACCGGATCGGCTTGATCCCAACCCACGTTTTAGCGCCTGTAAGGTTTGGAAACCCAAGCTATCCCAAGCTTTCGATCCATAAGCAAGCCTCTCAGGACCTCTGTGGGAGAAGAATTTAAGGAATCTTGTTGCATTTTCTTTCTATAAAGCAAATTCTTTCTCGGCTCCCAGGCCAAGAAAAATATACCATACCTTTGGTCAGTCTCTGAGCTGAGGATCTGCTCCAAGATTAAGCAGGCGCGGACACACAACATCCTATCTGGATACTAGTTCGTTCTCTCTCTCTGTCCCCCCTAGTTTTCCACACCACAATCCCAATTCCTGCCAGATCTGGAGGTGAAGCCTGCGTTTAATCAATTAAGATTAAAAAGGCCAGCACCGTGCAAGCAGTTCTGGCGACCGTCTTCCTGTGCCAAGGTTTAACGAGAGGGGTTTTTCAACTCAAAAGCCTTACTTTCCGTCTGCTGCTTCTCGCCGGCTAGCCAGGATGAGGTCAACCCAGGACAGGAACGATCCTGTACCCCGCAGAAACTTCTCTCCTGGTGCTTTTGGTCGATGGCGGGCGTTGTCTTCAGTAGCATTGGCATATTGGGGCACTGCTGGGTTCTTCCCCCCCCCCCAAAAAAAGAAGAAGAGAGGATCAAAAGAAGTCGGATGCTTTACGTCTCTTGGGCAGCTGCAGCAGATTGTCCGTGATAGAGGTGGGATCCTGAGCCACTGGGGTTTGAGAGAGTGTCCCGGACGTTGGGGTGACCGTGGGGGTCTGCAGGCCGGCCGAAGGCGTCTTGTAGCCAGGCGTCCTCTCAGGTGCAGGGGAAGGGGTGTAACTGGCCCGGAGAGCTTTGTCAGTGAACTTGCTAGCGGTGCGGTTCACGAGGCGTTGTAAGGCGGGAGACATGGCAGGGCTGAGGCCTTTCGGAGTGAGGCTGGAAGGGGGGGGGAGAGAAAAATCAAGGACTTCAGGTAAGCATTGGTCAGTCTGTAGCTAGGATGGTCGGATGGTGCACTGATTAAAATGCAGGATGGCAGGCTAACCCTGCCCACCGGCCTGGAGTTCGATCCTGACAGGGCTCAAGATTGACTCAGCCTTCCATCCTTCCAAGGTCAGTTAAATGAGGATCCAGATTGTTGGGGGCAAGAGGCTGGCTATGTAAACTGCTTAGAGAGGGCTGTAAAGCCCTGTGAAGCGGTATATAAGTCTAAGGGTTATTGCTGTTTTATGCTATGCTACGCTATGCTATGCTATTTCTATTCTATTCTATTCTATTCTTATTCTATTCTCCTATTTAATTCTCTATTCTACTCTTATTCTATTCCTATTCCATTCTTTTTCATTCTATTGTCTATTCTATTCCTATTCCTTATTCTATTTTATTCTCTATTCTATTCCATTCCATTCTATTCTTATTCTATTCCTATTCCATTCTTTTTCAGTCTATTGTCTATTCCTCTTCCTTATTCTGTTCTATTCTATTCTATTCTATTCTAATTCTATTCTATTCCCTATTCCATTCTGTAATTCTATTCTATTTCTTATTTTATTCTATTTCTTATTCTATTTCTTATTCTTATTGTATTCTGTTCTTATTGTATTGTATTGTATTGTATTCTATTCTATTCTATTCCGTATTCCATTCTGTAATTCTATTCTATTCTATTTCTTATTCTATTCTATTATCTTTTCCTTTTGAATTTCCAACCGCACTCAAAGCAAGTCTTAAAGTTGATCTAACAAGATACTGAAATACTTCTTAAGTTTTGAATACTTCAGCCCATTTCATTGCCACCTGAAAGGATCACTCACCTGGCAAGGTTCTCTGTGACTCTCCTCAAGGCTTCTTGTTTCTTAGCTCTGTTTTTTGCAGCTGCCTCGTTGGCCATCTTAAGCCCTAGCCTCTCCCGGCGTCCGGGCTCCAGGATCTGTGAAAAAATCCTCTGATTAGATTACCCATGCATTTTGGAGTCTGATCCGTCAACCTTAGCTTGATCCTCCTCACCTTTTTCTCACTGGCTGAGAAAATAAAAAAAGGATGTCTAGGGCAGCTCCAGAACCTTTTTTCCAAACTCTTCCACAAAGTGCTATCCAAATCAGGGCAAGTAAGAGTAAGAGTTGAGCCCTGACTCAACTACTTATTTCATAGTTTATCAAGACAAATTTGCCCCTCTAGTTAAAAAAGTATCTGGGCTGCTTACAGTCCTTATAGTAAACACGTTCTCTGGCTGTAATTAATTTATTATGGTTCATGGATTATATTATATTGGACTGGCATAGACCAGCCCAATATCTGATTTATTTTTTTAATATAAACGATTCTGAGCTTCAATGGTGGCACAGCCTACACCAGGGTTGGGGAACCTTGGCTCTTTTATGACTTGTGGACTTCAACTCCCAAAATTCCTGAGCCACAAGTCATAAAAGAGCCAAGATTCCCCACCCCTGGCCTAGACAATGGTTCTATCTGAACATAGATCTTTTTAACATTCATATTTTATTCTGTTTTTTTTAAACCTAGGTGAAGTGATAATATATATATATTGCAAGTCCAGGTATAATATGCCATACGCTAAATAATAATAATAATAGTAATAATAATAATATTGTTCACTGCACAGTTGTCCAATTTGTTTGCACAGGATGCAGATAACCCTTGACTTACATTTAGTGACCGTTTGAAGTTACAACGGCATTCAAAAAAAGTGGCTTACGATCCTGACTGTTGCACCATCCCTGTGGTTACTCGATCAAAATTCGGAGGCTTGGCAACTGGGGTGTCCTTGTGTGTGTGTGTGTGTGTGTGTGTGTGTGTGTGTGTGATGTGATCCCCTTTTGCGACCTGTTAATGGGGCAGCCGGATTCACTTAACATCAGCGTTACTAATTTAACAGCCTCAGTCATTCACGTAGCAACTGTGGCAAACAAGATCGTAAAATAGGGACAAAGAGACACCTAACAAGTATCTCGTTTAGCAAGAGAAATTTTGAGCTAACTTGTGGTCGTAAGATGAGAACGACCTGTATAGTGACAGGACCGAAACGGGGTGTTTTAAATCTTTGAATACCTTGAAAGCCGGTCCTGGCGTCCGGTCCATGTCAGAGCCTTCCAATCGCAGAGGGGTGCCTTCTATCTCACCCCAGGTCATAAGAGGGGACTCATTCACACCTGGAAAGACACACTGGCCAATCAGCGTCCTTGAATAAGACAGCAAGCTGTTGGCTTGCCGTCTGAACCCTGCTAGCGTGCTGGACTCAACATATTTGGGGTGAGGGAATCTCTGTCAGGAGAATCAGCCGGAAGGGACAAAAGAGAAAAGACTGAATCCTGAAAAATTAAATGCAATCCTTTTGAGGGGTCCTGGGTGCTCTCTGAGCTTGCTTGTTTTCTTGCAGACATTTCATTACCCAAACTGGGTAACATCATCAGTGCTAGAAGGGAGTGGGGCTTGCAAGGAGGAGGACTGTGGGGTCCTTGGTGCTCTCTGAAGTTGGCTGTTTTCTTGCAAACGTTTCATGACCCAACTAGGTAACATCATCAGTGCTAGAAGGGAGTGTGGTTTGTAGAGAGGAGGAGGAGGAGGAGGAGGAGGAGGAGGAGGGCTATAGGGTCCTTGGTGCTCTCTGAGCTTGCTTGTTTTCTTGCAGACGTTTCATTACCCAAACTAGGTAACATCATCAGTGCTAGCATTTCACGGCACTAGCACTGATGGCGTTACCTAGTTCGGTAATGAAACGTCTGCAAGAAAACAAGCAAGCTCAGAGAGCACCCAGGACCCCTCATGTCATCTCTGAGCTACAAGTGTTCTCCTTTATTAGTACAGTCCTTTTGTTTTTACATAGATGTGAAAGAAGGTGGGAAAAAAAACAACAGAAAGAACCAGAGCTTATATACAAGTTCTGTCAAAGGACATCCTGTCATTTATGTATGTATATATGTATGTATTTAGCACACCCATGGATCAAAAGGTTAGGATTTACAAATAGTCCTTGACTTACCACTCATTCATTTAGTGACTGGAAGAAAAAAAAAAAAAAGGACTTGTGCTGTTTCTCACACTTACCACTGCCACAACAGGGGATCACAATTCAGGGGCTTGGCAACTGGCCTGTATTTACAACAGAAGAGCCGAGGTGGCGCAGCAGTTAGAGTGCAGTACTGCAGGCCACTTTAGCTGACTGTGTTCAGCAGGTCAGCGGTTCAAATCTCACCGGCTCAAGGTTGACTCAGCCTTCCATCCTTCCGGGGTAGGTAAAATGAGGACCCAGATTGTTGGGGGCAATGTAAATATACACACACACACACACACACACACACACACACACACACTGCTTACTGGTGTACACCGCTTAGAGAGTGCTTGCGCTTAAAGCGGTATATAAGTCTCATAAATAAAATAAAATAAATAAACAGCTGACGGGTTGTAGGATTACAGGAATCACCGTCTGCACCCTTCCCAGCCAGCTTACAGTAAGCAAAGTCAATGGGGGAAGCTAAATAGCTCTTTTGTGTGTATGTTTTTGTAAATAATAATAATAATAATAAAATAACAGGATAAAAAGGATTTTCTTTCTTACCGGGAGCAGGGGAGGGTGTGGCCACGAAGCCGTATCCGTTTACCTTGGGAGATTCCTGAGGAATAAGTTCCTTCCCATCAGGCCCCACTTTGCCTTGTTTGTACTGGGATTAACAGAGAAAGGAAGAATGCTTAGCATTAATTACAGAGAGCTTAAAGGCACGGAGAAATCGGGACGCTAAAACGGCTCAGAGTGTTAAAAACGAAAGATATTTTGGAAAAGGGAATTAAAGAAGAGGCACCAACTTTTGTCCCAGGTAAACTAGAATGTTCAGAAACTCTTCTTTCCTTCTTTCCTTCCCTCCTCCTTTTTTTTCTCTTGCCTTCTTTCCTTTTTTCCCCTTCCTTCCTTCCTTCTTTTTCTCCTTCCTTCCTCTGCTTATCATTTCCTCTTCTGCCTCCTTCCTTCTTCCCTTCCTTGCTTCCTTCTTTTGCTTATCATTTCCTCTGCTTCTCCATCTCCTTCTTTCTTCTTCTTTCCTTCCTCCCTTCTTTTTTTTCTCTTGCCTTCTTTCCTTTTTTCCCCTTCCTTTCCTTCCTTCCTTTTCTCCTTTCTTCCTCTGCTTACCATTTCCTCCTCTGTCTCCTTCCTTCTTCCTTTCCTTGCTTCCTTCTTTTGCTTATCATTTCCTCTGCTTCGCCATCTCCTTCTTCTCCTTCTCTCATCTCCTTCCTTTCTTGCTTCTTCCTTACTTTGCTTACCATTTCTTCTCCTCCATCACCTTCTTCCCTTCCTTGCTTCCCTCCTTTGCTTACCCTTTCCTCTGCTCCTCCATCTTCCTTCCTTCCTTCCTTCCTTCCTTCCTTCCTTCCTTCCTTCCTTCCTTCCATCCATCCATCCATCCATCCATCCATCCATCCCATTCTGCCATTATTTCTCGTTTGATTTGCTATGATTCACTGGCCAGTTCAAGGCGAGTAGAAGCAGACACCTTATAAAGGAGGCGGAGGTGGGAAATGTAACGCCCCTCACCTGAGCATTGAGGGCTGCTGCTTGCTGAAGCTGGGTCTTGCTCACTGCTTGACTAAAGGGGTCCTTCAAGAAACGGGTGTTCCTGTGAGCGACCTCACGTGGCTTCTTAAACACATCTTCCTCTTCAGGAACTCCTGAAAAGACACATAGCACTTTATGACCCGCAACCCTGGAAACACAGCATCAATTCCTGGCTCCTTTCCTCCAACGAAAGGGCAGACGTGAGCGAAGGGCAGGACAACCTCCAGCCAATCATCCACAAGGCAAAAGGATCAAATGAAGCTTTTTTTCTCTTATCCTGATTCTATTGCTTCTTCTTCCCAGATCGAGAGAAACAAGGCCGATCAACCCGTGCAGGAGAAAGATCCAAAAGAAGGGAGGTTTGTTTTTCTTGTCGTTTCAAAATATGAAAAAAAAAACCAAGGATCAAAACAAATGGAGTGGAGAAAGAAAAGAGGGGATGCCCTCCGTTTGACCAACAATCCTGCTTCTAAGAAAAGTCTAAAGCAAGGACCGGTGAATTTATTTTATTTTATGATCTGTATTCTGCTTTTGCTGTTTTTACAAAACTGCTCAAAGCGGCAAACATATCCAACACACCTTCCTCCTACTTTCCCCACAACAACAACACTGTGAGGTGGATTGGGCTGAGAGAGAGAGAGGGAGGATCTGGCCCGAAGGTCACCCAGCTGGATTTCATAGTTTAGATGGGACTAGAACTCACCATCTCCTGGTGATTGGCCAAAAGTCACCCAGCTGGCTTTCATGGCTAATGTGAGACTAGAACTCACTGTCTCAAGGTGATTGGCACAAAGTCACCCAGCCGGCTTTCATAGCTAAGACAAGACTAGAACTTACCATTTCATGATGATTGACCCTATTATTATCCAGCTCTCCTTTTTACAACAAACAGACCTTGTCAGAGGAAGCACAAGCGGCCTCACCTGGTGGATAATACATCAGCGAATTCTTTGCCTTGTATTCCCATGTTTCTACTCCAGCTTTGCCACTCCCCAGGGCCTGCTGCTCCTCCAGCGATGGGAGAGCTAGCTGCTCCTGATGCCGCTGAAATGGGAAAGAAAAACACAGTCAGCTGCAAGCATGGATGGAAGGGAGGATGTTCCCCGGATGACTCTGCAATGTTTTTAGGAGTAAATTCATATTTTAGTGTTTTCAGCACTTTCAGGTTTTCCTCCACAGAAGTCAACTGCATATCCTGAACGCAATTTGGTCAGGCAAGTAAAGCTTCAGGGCCTCCTACCCCCAGTGTGGGTTTATTTCACAAAGGTAAATTGCACATGCCTTTTGATTGGCCAAGGGCCGTAAAGTTTTCATCATGCGAAGCAAAAGGGATGATGCAATGTGCATGTAGCTTTCTTGGGCACACGGATTGGGCTGAGAATTGTCTAGGGTCTTAGAAGAAAAAAGAATTTTTTTTCCAGCTTTAATTGTTATTTATTAGTTGGAAAGCATTCAGTTGTGCAAGCAGGGTTAGCTGGCAGCTGCCCAAAGAGGCCTCTGGAAACCACAGGTTGCCTGGTGTGCAGAATAAGACTGCATCAATTTTTTTACAACTTAAAACTGTCCACTTTTGAAAAGGAATGGCATAGCACTACTGTCGTCTTTCCAAAGTGAGGAATATAAGAAAAACCAGTTTAGAGAGACCAACTAGCGGTAAAGGCGCTAAACTAGAAACCAGGAGACAGTGCGTTCTAGTCCTGCCTGAGGCATGAAAGCTGGCTGGGTGACTTCGGTCCAATCACCAGGAGACGGTGAGTTCTAGTCCCATCTTAGGCATGAAAGCCAGCTGGTTGGCTTTGGGCCAGTCCCTTTCTCTCAGGGACCTTCATAAAGGCAGAATAAAAAAAAATCTAAAAGATATTTTTTTTAAAAAAGCCTCTTTTCTTTGACCAAGGGAGGAGCAATCCTTTCACCCCTGGCTCCAAACCGCCATACAGAGAAGCTGCTCCTTACCTGGGCAAATTCCTCTTCGGCTTCGTAAAGCCACGAATGCTTCACTTTCTCCTTCTCTTTGGCGACTTCCATGATCTGCTCGAAGGAAGCATTATCCTCGCTGGTGTGTTTGGCCAAGAATTTATCCAGACTGGGCAGGGCATCTTTGTTTTCTTCTTCCCCGGCTTCTCCTGAAAATAAAAGAAAACGCCACTTGGAAAAAAAAAAAAAAAGGAAGATCCAGACACACCAAGGAGCCCCAGTTCTTTGAAAGATCAGATGTTCTAAGCCAGTGGTTCTCAACCTGGGGGTCGGGACCCCATTTGGGGTCGAACGACCATTTCACGGGGGTCGCCAAACAACGCAGTCTCCCATTTTTTTCCCCTTTTCCTTAGCTGTGCTACTCCCTTTTATTCTATTGGCTTTTGAAAGCCAATAGAATAGACTCCCTTGAATAGACTCTAATTCTATTGGCTTTCAAAAGCCAATAGGAATTGTCCAGGCTGTCTCTGCCCTGCTGAGCCCGCCAAAAGTCCCATTCTGCAAACGGTGCTGCACCAGTTGAGTAGTCCTCGACTTACGACCGGTTGAGTAATCCTCGACTTACGACCGGTTGGGGGTCGCGGCATTAAAAAGATTGAGAACCACTGTTCTAAGCTGTGGCGAAATCGTAATCTACCTGCAGAGCTGAGATTGGCCATTCCAATTTTAAGGAGATCAAAGAAACCTAGAAAGAAAAATTCTTGCAGCGAGTTGCTTACCTTCATCTAGAGATTTCGTGGTGAACTTCGGCTTATTCAGCACAGAAGAATCACTGGGGTGAACTTCGGGGGTTTCAAAAGTTGCCGGGGTGACATCTGTCCCAAGGAACACAAAATACAGATTTACAAAGTATAGAAAATGATTGCTCTGAAACTTCAAATCCCCGTTGAAAAATCCTGAAACACTCAATCTCACTAACTGATCTAATGATGCTTTGGGCCCGAGGCTGGTGGAGGAATTACCAGGCCACGTTTCGTTTTGGGGTGAAAAATCAAGGCAACCACCCAATAAATTGGTACTTAATCATACATCTACTGTTATCTTCATATGCCAATGTCCCTTAAAAGAAAAATTATGTGTGCAAAATGGGATTTGTGATAGGACACGCTATGGATCGCCATGACTCAGGATTGTTTGATGTTTGTTAAATTTATCTTTTGCCATTTTTCAGGGAGCTGAAGAAATGCATTGGACTTAAAACTCCAATCTTAGCCCAGTACGTTGACTACTGTATGGCAGTAGCTGTCTTCTCTATTTTTCTAAATTTGACATTATTTGCTCCTTTAAATCAGGGCCTTTTAAATACATCCCAGCTATGCTTTATCACTGGCCATCATTTGTAGTGACCGAGCAATTCTGAAATAGAAAAACAGACTGTGAAGTGTTATACTATTAAATCTAGATCAGGGGTTCTCAACCTTGGCAACTTTAAGACTTGTGGACTTCAACTCCCAGAATTCTTAAAGTTGCCACACCAGATAGTCTAGATCAGTGTGTCTCAACCTCGGCAACTTTAAGATGGTGGACTTCAACTCCATGCTGGCTGGGGAATTCTAGGAGTTGAAGTCCACACATTTTAAAGTTCCTGAAATTGAGAAACACTGGTCTAGATCGGTTACCCGTGATTTTACCTTCCAGCTGTTCTGAAATTATAACTAAAACAGCCAGCCAGGCAGAACTCTGGGAGTTACAACGCCTACAGATCTGCCCATGTATGTAGTGGCTAGGAACCCAAAACGACTGGATGGCGCAATCCATCGAATCAATCAACCGATCGGGCACTCGTATTTACAAGGTGCAGGTGTATCTCTGGCAGCTTTGCCCAAGGAGGAGCCAAACTTGATGGCTATCTGTCTCATCTTCTCCAGATCGCCGCTCTCTTCAGCCTCCAGATATTCCTTCTGACCCCGCAGCTTCTCCACATCAGGGAAAAAATCCCTCTGGATGATTTTTTCCAGGCTCTGCAAAGCATTCAGATGTTTCCAGATCAATATTTTAAAACACGAGGCGTTTGGATCACACCCTTTCTGAAACCTTATCCCTTTGAAAAGGAGCAGGGCGGGTCGAGGAGGTGGAAGGCAGGAGGTTGGCAAGCCCCGTGTTCGAGACCCGGGAGCTGCCATGGGGCAGGGGTTGAGCTCCTTCGCTCCATCTCCTCCTGGGGACATGAAAGGAGCTCCCAATTGGGCGTCCCCAGGGCAATGGTGATGCCATCAGCTACTCTTTCCAACCTGGAAGCGCCTCAGCGCTTCTGACGCCAGTGCAAAATCCTTTGATAACAGCCTAGCCACTTTTCATTGCCTCTTGCAGCTATTTAAGAAATCCCTTTTCTAATGAAGGAAGCCTCATACGTAATGCTCGGCCTTGGCAACCGTAGAAAAACTATAAATTGAGTAAAAGAGATTAAAGGAACGGAATGTGACACTTTGGGGTAATACTTTTTTCCCCCTTCTCTTCCTCCGCAACCCCCCCCCCACGCCACCGCACAACGACCCTGCGAGGGAGGCCGGGAGGGTAGGGAAAAAGAAGGGCTGGGCCCCCAACCACGGCAGAAAAAGCCGGAGGGCCGAGAGGCGACGGGCAGCCGAGTCTCCCGAAGGCCTGCCCGGCCTCCTCGTCCGCTCACCTGGATGTAGGCGTCCTCGTCCAGGACCCTCTTGCGGCCCTTGGGGGCCTCCTGGGGGGCCTCCTTCGGCAGAGCGACGGCGGAAGCCTCGGCCTGCACGGGCACCATCGCCTGGGCCGAAGCGCCGCACCCCGCCGGGGTCCCCGGAGCCTCCATCGCGTCTCCCGTGGCAACGCAGCGAGGCCTGGGCCGACGCGGGCTCCCACTTCCGGAAACACGGCCACTTCCGGGGAGAGACCCGGAAACGCTTCCCCTTACGCCGCCCTCGCGTGCGCCGACGTCACGCCCCCGAAAGGCATGGCAGTCCCTCCTCCTCCCCCCGCCTCCTCCCGAGGGAGGACGTCACGCCACTCCGTGACATAGAGGTAAGGCGAAGGGGCGGCGCGCGATCGATTCGGGTTCGCAGCTGCAGCGTGGCGTGGCGGGCAGCTGCGGGTGGCTCGGGAGCGACCGACCGAGTCTACTCTGCGGGGTGGTCGTTCAGCTGATCGCGGGCTCAGACCCTCTAATTCCCGCCCCCTCCCCCTCCAAAACAGAAGCCAAGTGGATATGTGAAAAGCGGGGATGGGCGCCTCTGCCACCAGTACACCTCTTTTATTATTTGATTTGATTTGATCATAATAAAGTTGGAAGGGACCTTGGAGGTCATCTAGTCCAACCCCCTGCTCAGGCAGGAAACCCTATACCAATTTAGACAAATGGTTGTCCAGTCGCTTCTTAAAGACATCCAGTGTTGGAGCATTTGATTTGATTTGATTAGATTTCTACTTCTACCATTGCAAAATTTGCCTTTTTAGGATACGGGGATCAGCAAGCCCCTTTGCTCTACTCCTTTGCATATTGTATTGCATTGTATTATTAATATCAATATTCTGTCACTCAATAGCATCCAATCTGATGCAAAATGGAACCTCCAGCCAATGAAAAAAGGTGTGCTGGACAGGGTAGCAGCCTACCTGTGAAGCCGCCAAGAGTCAGACAGGACTAAATGGTTTAAAACCGCAACAAATATAGGCAAGAAAGGAAAACAAAAGCAAAAGTTCTTTTTTCTTTATTTTTTTATTGGTGTGCCTGCATGATCGAGGCAATGTTTGTTTTTTAAGATCCGGGCTGAAAACAGATAAAACTGTAGCTATATCGCTTCGCCAGAAAGGTTAGCTTGAAATGTTGACTTTGCAAAATGTTTCATGTTTAAATCCTACTCTGGGCTTTAGGATTGGCCAGCAAAGCAAGTACGGGTCCCCGAGTTACAACCGTTCATTTTAGCGACCGTTCGAAGTTACAATGGCACTGAAAAAAAAATAGCTAACAGAGTTGGAAGGAACCCCTGGAGGTCTTCTAGTCCAACCCCCCGCTCAAGCAGGAGATCCTATAGCATTTTAGGCAGATGGCTGTCCAGTCTCTTGTGACTTAATGACTGGACCTCCATTGCAGCATCCCCACATGATCACTATTCAGATGCTGGCATATATTTATGACAATTACACTGACCCAGGATCACGTTTATGACTTTCCCAGCCTGCTCTGAATAAGCAAAGCCAATGCAGGAGGGTGGATTCACTTAACAGCTGCATGATTCATTTAACAACCATGGCCAAAAAGATTGTAAAATCAGGTTCAACTCACTTAACAGCAACCTGGTTTAGTGATGGAAATTCCGATCCCAGCTGGAGTCCAAAGCGAGGACTCCTTGTATATCAGAAAAGCAGGGCAGTGAATCATAATTTAATCATTGTTTATGCTAATCACTCAGCCTAACGTCCAATAACTGCCCTCTATAGCAGAAATAAATAAGGATTCAGGCTTTTGCAAAAACAATGAATTTCTGGCTCATTATTGATCTTGTTTGCCCATGGCTTAAGCCACAGACAGTTCAGCTGTCATTGGTTGAATAAACCAGAGTTGGTTTATTCAGGAATACAGGTAGTCCTGGATTTACGACCACAACTGAACCCCAAATTAGCAAAAGAGTGATTCAGTGAGTTTTGCCCCATTTTACGACCTTACTTGCCACAGTTGCTAAGTGAAACACTGCAGTTGTTCAATTAATAATCCGGTTGTTAAGTGAATCTGGCTTCCCCATTGACTTTGCTCGTTGGAAGGTCGTAAAAGGGGATCACATGACCCCAGGATGCTGCAACCGTCATAAATGTGAATCATAAATGATCCCGGGACACAGGAAAATACGTGCCCAGTTGCCAAGCATCCGAATTTTGACCATGTGACCGTGGAGATGCTGCCACGGTCGTAAGTGTGAAAAACGGTCATAAGTCACTTCCCAGTGCCGCCGTAACTTGGAACGGTCACAAAACAAACGGTTGTAAATCAAGGACTGCCTGTAATATGTTTGTCTATCATGGCATGGAACCCAATTATTACTGGTAAATCAGGTCTCGGTATAGTGACTGGAGACATCCTGATGTGTGCTGATGGATCAATCATGGTTAACCAAAACAAGACTGCGTGGGAGATATCAGCTTGGCTAACCTATAATTTGTCCCTGTATGGCTAACTTGGCCTCGACCTGCCCGTCAACGCTTCTCTTCGGAAGACATCTTGGCCACTGGGAGGATGAGTGACGACGCTGCAGCTCTTTTCTGATGTCTCCATTTGGCTCGGCGGTTTTTAAACCAAACCTGTTTGTTTACAACAGAAGAAGGACGTTATTCCACCCACCGTCCGACACCGTGCTTTTTAAAAAGATGTTAAATCACATCCAAAACGAAAAGGGTAAACCCAAATGCCAAATAGAATCGTATAATGGGTGTAAATATTGAACCAGTACAGTACAGGTTGCCCTGGAAGTGTGGATATTCACTTAATGGCGGTTAATAATCGAAGTTATGACACGGAAAACGGTGCTCAGGAAAAGGGACTGACGTTGAATCAGGAGCCTGAAATGGCATCCGTGAAGAGCCAGTTTCGTCTGGTGGATAAGGTACCAGGCTGGAAAGCAGGAGGCTGTGAGTTCAAGTCCCGCTTTAAGGCTGACTCGGACTTCCATCTTTCCGAGGTTGGTAAAATGAGGACTTAAGATTGTTGGGGGCAAGAGGCTGACTCTAAACTGCTCAGAGAGGGCTGTAAAGCGGTATATAAGTCTAAGTGCTGTTGCTATTGCCCTTCCTTCCTTCCTTCCTTCCTTCCTTCTCTCTTTCCTTCCTTCCTTCCTTCCTTCCTTCCTTCCTTCCTTCCTTCCCTCTTTCCTTCCTTCCTTCCTTCCCTCCCTGCACAGAAGTTAGAATGCAAAATTGCAGGCTAACTCTGCCCACTGCCAGCAGTTCGATCCTGACCAGCTCAAAGTTGACTCAGTCTTCCATCCTTCCGAGGTCAATAAAATGAGGACCCAGATTCTTGGGGGGGGGGCAAGAGGCTGACTCTGTAAACCGCTTAGAGAGGGCTGTAAACTAAGCCCCGTGAAGCGGCATATAAGTCTAAGGGCTATTGCTATCTAAGCATGAAAGGCTGACTTTGGGCCAGTCGCTCTCTCTCTCAGCCCAAGCCACCTCACAGGGGCGTTGCGCAGAAAATAAGGAGGAAGCCCTTGATTTGATCTTCTGGAAGGCTTATGAACTTCTCAATCCTCTTCAGTCCTGCTCTTTATCGCCCGTTCTGTGTCCCCCCTCCCCATCCACACCCCGAAAATTACCTCAACTCTCTCTTCCTTCAGGTGGATCTGGCTGGCTAAGTGCTCTCTGGTGATCACATCTGGGTACTGGTTCTTATGGAAAAGAGCCTCTAAGGCCTGGAGCTGGTCTTCCGTGAAGATGGTCCGGTGTCGCCGAGTCCGTCTCTGGATCTGGTGGAAGGTCTGCAGCTCGCTCGGGCTGCCGCGGTGGTTCCTGCAGGGCCTGGCCAGGGGGTAGAACAGCTTCATGGGCCACGCACACCTGGGGTCACCTGGAAGGAAAGCACAATCGGTTGGGTTGGTCTCCAGAGAGGCGGTGAGCCAATCCGTTGGTTCTCCAGGGTGGGAATGATGGGGCCATCTGCTTATCAATTGCTGTGCAAGTTCTGAGGTTTTACTTGATTAAAAACAGTACAGGAAACCAGAAGCCGCCTTCAAACTCATTCACCATCTCATCATTCCCCCCCCCCCGAATCTTTCTAGATTTAAAATTGGAATTTGTGTCCAATTAATCCTTCTAGATTTCCCCGTATTTGTAAATTCCCCACTGGAAACCAGGAAAGGCTACAGATGGGTGCCAAGAGATGAAACTTGAACACAACTCTCTTCTTTAGATACACACACACACATACACCTACCTTGGAAGAATCACAGTAAAGCCTGTTTATCTCTCTCTCTCTCTCTCTCTCTCTCTCTCTCTCTCTTTCTCTCTTTCTCTCTCTCTCTCTCTCTCTCACACACACACACACACACACACACCAAAAAACCCCAAGTCAATTCACTTGAATGAACTAAAGAAACGGAACGGGCAAAAACTTTTAGGAAACTCCCAAGACTGATTTTGACCTTGGAGTCCTGATTCTCCTTAAAGTTGGGCTGGAGGGAGCGGGCCCCAATGGCAGCCCCCACCCTCACAGCCCCCCCACCCCACCCCAAGTCTTTGGCACCCCACCCTCCTCCCAACGAAACCCCTCACCGAGCCAATTTGCGCTTTCTCGCCACGTGCGAATGCCCTCCTTGGAACAGCAGCAACAGTTGCACGACATCCTGACTCTCTCCACTTCGTCTGTTTCCTCCTCCTCCGGGAAAGTGCCCAGATTCCCCCAAAAGCACAGCGCTTTGGGGTCTTGGTCCCAAATGCCTCGGAAGCAGAAGGGGAAGAGGACGGGGGCTCTGCTCTCCGCCGAGCCGGACAGGATGCTCTCAATGGTGAAGGCACAGGGCTTCTTGTTCTTCTCCAGCTCAGCAGTTGAAGGAGCTTCTGTGGACATCCTTCTCCGTGGGACCTCAGCTACACCTGAGAGACCAAAGGAGAAACTGCTTTATCATCAGTTGGTAAATCATCAGGACGTAAATGTCCATCAGATGGGGAAGATGCCCTTTGCCCGATGGCCAACTCTCGGAAGAATTTCAACCATCCCTTCCTGGCCACCGGTCTCTGTCTTCCCGTAATCTAGTTAGTGGCTTTATAAGAGCATCGCAAATATACAGAGACATTTCAAATATACAGAGATATTTCCTTCCCCCCCCCCACGGTCCTTAATCCTTCTTGGAAAGAAACCAGCCCACCCCCACCCACCCACCCTTGAAAAGCTGGAATAAAATAAATTCAAGCTAATCTTGACAGCTTTGTGAAGGGTTAGTGTGGATCTAAGATTTAGCTAATCCTGCAGGAATGACTGGGTGGAAATCTGATTTCTCAATCTCAATGGCAGGATGAAGGTGGTTTTATGATGTCCATTGTATGGCAAAGCTTGTCTTTTGGAAGGGGGAGAGGAAGAGAGAGAAAAGCTGTTTTCTCAGGCACAGAAATGGCCCGGGAGGATTAGCTCCTTGAAAAAAAGAAAAGAAGAAGAAGAAAAAAGAGGAAAAGCAAATTATCCTTCTTTTTTTTTTCTTTGACCACAGGAAAGGCTTCTAATCCAAAGGCACAACTGTCATGTTGCACAATGTAAGGACGGAGAAGGGGGCTGGGGTTGGGGGAATGGGGTAAATGAATTTAGCTTTTACAAGAGGAAGCCAACAATATTAGCAGCAGCCCAGATCCCTTGCAAAATAGAAAACATTTCTCTTGAAAGTCAACATATTGGTGACTGGGAACCCAGGCGAAAGTTGGATATTATCAGTGTTTCTGATGGGCCATCAACCCATTGATTTTCTCTGTTTTGTAGAATAAATGGGAAGCCCTGTTAAAGGGACATTAGGCTGATTAGGAATTCCAGATTATACTACTAGGAGTGTCGGTCTTGGAGTAGAAAGAAGATCCTTCGGGAGAGGGCAAGATTAGAGTTGAGATTAAGAGAGATAGAGGGAGGGGAAGATAGAAAAAGAAAGGATGAATGGATGAAGATAGATAGATAGATAGATAGATAGAGAGAGAGAGAGAGAGAGAGAGAGATGGTGATGGATGAGGGGGATAGAGAGATAAAGATATAGATAAATAGATGAGAGAGGGAGAGAGAAATGGTGATGGATGAGAGAGTGGATAGAGGGATAGATAGATAGATAGATAGATAGATAGATAGATAGATAGATAGATAGATAGATAGATAGATAAGTAGGTGATGGGTGGATGAAAGATGGATGATGAATGATGGATGATAGAAGATGACTGAGAACGAGAGAGAGAGAAAAAGTATACATGGATGAATAGATGGACAGACAGATCCCATACAAACAAAATCTCTTTTTATTTTTATTTGTTTATTTTTTCGTCAAATGTATTGTCTGCCCATCTTATCCCAGGATAACTCCGGACGGCTTACAATATTAAAAGGCTCCTTACAATGTTTTGCCCGATCGGAAGAGGGAGACAGATCTGGCCCATAAGAGTCGGACATGACTGAACGGACAACATCATCATCACAATGTTTTTTTTGGGGGGGCGGGGTTCTTCCTTAATTGGGAAGCTGTCCTCAGAGACCCAGATTTAAGAAGCACCCTTCTCAGCCGCTTCCCGTGGAAGCAAACTTCTCAGAAGTTTTTTTTTTTCTCCCAGGTCGGTTTAACTGCTTACCCCGAAGCAAATTGGTTTGAGCAATGGTTTTTAAAAAGAGATTGGACGGCCGTTTGCCCAGAATGCTATAGGGTCTTCTGCTTGCGCAGGGAGTTGGACTAGAAGACCTCTAAGGTCCCTTCCAATTCTGTGGATGGAAACTAACCAAGGAGAGAAGCAACGAGAACTAAGGAGAAATTTCCTAACAGTGAGGACAATTAACCAGTGGAACGACTTGCCTCCAAAAGTTGTGGGCGCTCCATCACTGGAGGCTTTTAAGAAGAGACTGGACAACCACTTGTCTGAAATGGTATAGGGTTTCCTGCCTGAGCACGGGGTTGGACTAGATGACCTCCAAGGTCCTTTCCAACTCTGTTACTATGATGCTTGGGGAGCCGATTTTCTTCCAGGGGGATAGACTAGATAGCTTCCCAGAACCCGCGCCATCTCCACGCTCCTGCGAGAGCGTCAGAAGTTGCTACAAGGGAGGGAAAATAGAGCAGCATTTCTCCAAGTTCAGGCTGTTCAGTTGTCCCCCCCCCCGTCACCATGACGGCGAGCGAGACCCTATTCAACAAATCTTCCACCTATCTGGCCTTGTGCATTTAGCCTCTTAGTCTCCTGTCTGATTGCTTTCTTTGATTTTCCCCACAGCTTTCACTTTGGGGGAAAAATAGACCGGTAATGCTTCTTTTATCAAAGAATTATGGGATTTAAGACCCAGATTTCCACAAGAGGCGTTGCGATAAGGGGCCGGTAATCAAATCCAAATCAGCTAGGACTGCTTTGTGTCCCGATTCGCCGAGGTGGTGGGGTGGAGGGATGTATTGATGTGGGTTTATGGAGATAAAGATCTCGTTGAGCCTTTCCATCTTTTTTTTCTTTTTTGTAAATAAAAAATAAAAAGGAGAACAAGAAGAAAGGGGAGAATAAAAACAAGGAGAATGGAAGCGAGGGGAGAGTGTATAGACACGTGCCAGACAATGGCGAGATACGGCGGGAGAGAATTGAAAAAAAGCCTTTATCGGTTTGGTAAGAGACTCTAAAACCATTATGGGGATTAGCCGCAGAGAGAGAGAAAGGCAGCGAGTTAATCTGTTTTAGCTATTCATTTGTGAAAAGTGAATTTAGAGGGTTGAATTCCCACCTCCCTCCAACAAGTGCCACAATGCTAATGCCACCTTTACCCGCTGCTCTTGTTTTCCTTTTTAATCCGACACAAATATCCATCCTCCCTGTCAAGGATGGACACTGGGATCCAATGCAGCAGTACAGACCTGGCTCATCCCTTGGAAAGCAGCATTCTGCCACTTCAAGAACTGGAGGATGGGTGGACTTCAAACTCTTAAAACAGCAACATGAGTGAAGGTGTGAATCCACGCAGGGGTTGGCTAGAATGTGATTTGCGTGGTTTGGGCATGGCTCAGTACACAAACACAGGTCTGGGGACCAAGGTTTTACAGGTTAATGTGATTGAACAATACAACTAACAAGGCTTTCTTTCTTTGTTGGTCAACCACAATTCAGTGCAGTGGGTGAAACTGCCAATCTTCTCAATAAACCTGTGAGAGGGATCTTGGAGTCTAATAATAATAATAATAATAATAATAATAATAATAATAATAATAATAATAATAATAATTATAATAATAACCCCCAGTGAGGCACTACCTTGACGTGGTTGTGGGGCTTGTGTACTCTGAGGAAGATGAGAGCTATGCCAGAGGTTCAACCATACTGGACAGGTCTCATCAGAAGAGTCAGACAAAGAGTGTCTCTCCCATAAAAAATATGGTGAGACGTAAATTCAGAATGCCATACCGGCTCGGACGTCGCCCGGGTTAACAAGGTCCGCGCTAGATATTGGAGTTCCTGGATATCTGGTGAAAAATGGGTTACAGGACTCAGGACTGTTGGCTGAGCAACCAGGGCCAGCAGCTGCAGAACTACTGGAAGAAAAGGTGTTTACCCGTCGCAGATACACAGTGATGGAAAACAAAGAAATAATGATCTGTTACTACAGATCAAGTCCAACAAGACGAGGATATCTAAAACGAATGCACCAATTCTGGAAAGAACAACATCCAGAATCAGAAATAACAGAACAGAGACTAGCAGATCAACGCCGATTTATAACACGAAATAAAGTATTTACAGAAACAGAATTAGACGAACTGCAAAGGTTTACCCAGGGCAAAGAAATCAAAGCCTTACAAGAAGTAATTCAGAATGTAGAGGCAAACCAGGGGGAGTTGGCAGTGAAGGAATCCAGCAGAGATATACAACTTTTCTCATTTGGAAACCAGGCACCTCTACCTCAGGAAGAACAAAACCCTCTAACTAAAGAAATAAAAGAATTGAAACAAAGAATAACTGAGCATCTAGAACAGCACAAAAACAACAGAATAAGGCTGCCTGCATTGAAGCTTGTTCCAAAGAAACAGCTAGCACAAGCATTAAAAGATGCAAATACTGCAATAGCAAGTATAAGCACCAATTCACTGCAAGAAACAAACCAACTAATGTACAGCACAGCTGCAGTTATAACAGAATACCTGGGATGCAAAATCAACAAAAAAGAAAAACAAACAGTGCACCAGAAAAATGGAAGGTTAGACTAGAAAATAAGATCAGCAAGTTAAGATCACATGCAAGCAAGCTAGAACAGATGAAAGAAAAGAAGCTGAAGAACAAGAAGACCAAAGAATACCTAATCAAGAAATACCACTTAGAAACAAGGAAGATCAAGGAAGCACTGGAAATAATAAAGCAACAAATAACAGCTATAGCCAGGAAAATCAGTAGATATGAAGCTCGAATTGCAAACTATAGGCAGAACCTCCAATTTCAATCCAATCAGAAACGTTTCTACCAATCCATCAATGGAGAAACTGCAAGGAATCAGTCAGTACCTGACAAGGAAGAAACAGTGCAATTCTGGAAGCAGGTATGGGATAACCCAAAGAAATACAACAAGGATGCAGCTTGGTTAAAAGAAGTGGATGCAAATAAAACAGAAGTTGAAATGAAAGAACTAGTAATAACAACAAAAATGGTAGAAAAAAGAGCAAAGAAAATCAAAAATGGTCAGCACCAGGTGAAGATGAACTGCATGGGTTTTGGTTGAAACATCTAACTGTTATACACCCACTCATTGCCAAGCAGTTCAACAATATACTACAAGGAGGAGAAATTGAAAAGTGGCTAACAACTGGGAAAACCTACCTAATAATGAAAAATCCAGCAAAAGGGGCAACACCAGGTAACTACAGGCCAATTACCTGCTTACCAACAACTTTCAAATTACTAACTGGTGTGGTAGCTGATGCAGTACAACAGCATCTAGTTGAAAACAATCTCTTTCCACCTGAGCAGAAAGGAAACCGCCCCAATAGCAGAGGAACAAAAGATCAACTCCTAATACACAAAATGATCTTGGAAAACTGCAAGAAAGGAAGACCAACCTGAATGTGGCATGGATGGACTACAAAAAGGCATTTGACTCTCTGCCACATGACTGGATAATAAGTGCCTAGAAATAACAGGAGTCAGTAGAAACATCAGAAAATTTGTGCAAAGATCGATGGCACAATGGAAGACACAGTTGCAGATCAATGGTGAAAGCTGGGAGAGTAATATCCAAGAGGAATATTTAAGGAGATTCACCACACCATTACTATTGTTGTTGCACTGTTTCCTCTGTCAACAATACTGAATAACTCAGGACATGACTATCAAACATCAAAAACATCTGCCAGACTATCCCACCTCCTTTATATGGATGATCTGAAGCTGTATGGAAAAACATCATCTGAAATAGAATCGCTGCTCACCACTGTCCGTATATATAGCCAAGATATTGTAATGGAGGTTTTTTTTGGGGGGGGGGGGGGCTTGGACAAATTGTGCCACACTTACTATCAAACAAGTGAAAAATAGTACGTTGAAAACTGAAGGAATCAAGGATGCCCACGGAAAATAACATAAGCGTTGGATGAGGAAGAATACTACAAAAATTGGGTATCTTCAAGCTGTGACAACATCAAGCACACTGAAAGTCAAGAAAAAGATTAGAGGTGAATACATCAGAGAGTGAAGAAGATTTAACAATCCAAAAATCAATGGAGGAAAGACCATAAAGGCAATCAACACTGGGCAATTGCAGTCATTAGGTACACAGCTGGAATAGTGGACTGGACTCAAGCAGAACTAAAAGCAATGGATAGGAAGACCAGAACAATAATGACAATGAATCATGCCCTTCATCCACGCAGTGACATTGACAGACTTTATCTACCAAGGCAAATAGATGGGCGTGGAATGTACAAGTACATCAGATGGTTGAAGAAGAAAAAATGGCTTTGGAAGAATATCTGAAGAACAATGATGAAGATGCACTGAAATTAGTATATCAGGAAGGCTTACTGACTACTGGAGAGACCAAACTGGCCTACAAGAAAGACAAATGAAGAACAGAATAGAGGCATGGGAAGACAAAGCACTACATGGCCAATACATGAAAAAAATAGCTGGGAAAGCAGATAATAACAAGACCTGGCAATGGCTAAGAGCAGGAAAATTGAAGAAAGAGACCGAGGGACTAATTCTGGCTGCACAAGACCAAGCCTTAAGGACAAATGCATACAAAGTCAAAATTGAGAAGACAGCAACAGACAGTAAGTGCCGCCTATGCAAAGAAGCTGAAGAAAACAGTGGACCACTTGGTAAGCTGTTGCAAGAAGATTGCACAGACTGATTACAAGCAGCGACATGACAAAGTAGCAACAATGGTGCATTGGAAGATCTGCAAAAAATATCATTTGCCTGTAAGCAAAAACTGGTGGGATCATAAAATAGAGAAAGTCATAGAAAATGATAAAATTACACTGCTCTGGGACTTCAGAATTCAAACAGACAAGCACCTGCAACATAACACCCCAGACTTAACAATTGTCGATAAGAAAGACAAAAAAGTCTGGATAGTGGACGTGGCAGTGCCTGGAGACAGCAGAATAGAAGAGAAAGAACTGGAGAAGATAACAAAATACAAAGACCTACAAATAGAAATAGAAAGACTGTGGCAAAAGCAAGCAAGGGTAGTACCAATAGTAATAGGCTCCTTGGGTGCAATCCCAAAACAACTGGAGCACCACTTGAACACCATTGGCATTGACAAATTCGCTATTAGTCAATTGCAAAAGGCGGCCTTATTAGGAACTGCTTCCATCCTGCGACGATACCTGTAATACCATCAAACATCCACATCTGCCTATCCCAGGTCCTGGGTAAGGACTCGATAGGTAGACAAAATGCCAAATCCAGTCTGAACATCTGGCTGACTGTGCGATGATCAATAATAATAATAATAATAATGAGGAGGAGGAGGAGGAGGTAGGAAGGAAGAAGAAGAAGAAGAAGAAGAAGAAGAAGAAGGAAGAAGAAGAAGAAATGAAGAAGAAGAAGAAGAAGAAGAAGAAGAAGAAGAAGAAGAAGAAAGAAGAAGAAGAAGAAGAAGAAGAAGAAGAAGAGAAGAAGAAGAAGAAGAGAAGAAAGAAGAGAGAAGAAAGGAGGAAAGAAGAGGAGGAGGAGGAGGAGGAAAGAAGAGAAGAAGGGAAGAAGAATTAAGGAAAAGAAGACGAGGAAGAAGGAAAAGATGAAGAAGAAGAGAAGAAGAAGGAGGAGGAGAAGAAGAAGAAGAAGAAGAAGAAGAAGAAGAAGAAGAAGAAGAAGAAGAAGAAGAAGAAGAAGAAGAAGAAGAAGAAGAAGAAATGATAAAGTAAAACTGCTCTGGGACTTCAGAATTCAAACAGACAAGCAGCTGCAACATAACACCCCAGACTTAACAATTGTCGATAAGAAAGACAAAAAAAAAAAAGTCTGCATAGTGGACGTGGCAGTGCCTGGAGACAGCAGAATAGACAAGAAAGAACTGGAGAAGATAACAAAATACAAAGACCTACAAATAGAAAGACTGTGGCAAAGGCAAGCAAGGGTAGTACCAGTAGTCATAGGCGCCTTGGGTGCCATCCCAAAACAACTGGAGCACCACTTGAACACCATCACTGGCATTGACAAATTCGCCATGAGTCAATTGCAAAAGGCGGCCTTACTAGGAACTGCTTCCATCCTGCGACGAGATCTGTAATACCATCAAACATCCACATCTGCCTATCCCAGGTCCTGGGGAAGGACTCGATAGGTAGACAAAAATGCCAGATCCAGTCTGAACATCTGGCTGACTGTGTGGTGATGGTGATGATGATGTTGGAAGGGACTTTGGAGGTCATCTAGTCTGGACAGCCATTTGTCAGGAATGGTATGGGGCCTCCTGCTTGAGCAGGGGGCTGGACTAGAAGACCTCCAAGATCCCTTCCAGCTCTGTTACTCTGTTCTGTTCACACCATTGATGGAAAGTGTGTGGCAAGCCCCGTCCCCACTAGCTGGAGCTGTTGTGCCTGGAAAGGCAGCTCTTTCCGGTGTGCCTTGCTTCTCGTTCAGATTCCTGCAGCACTCGGTGGTAAGGCCATGTTGTGTTCCTACAGAAAGTTAGACATCTCCTGGTGTCTCCTGGGGTGATCCGAGAGCGGCCACCTCTTGCAAAGGATGAACGTCGCCACGCAGGAACTGGAACGATGCACCGCTTTTTACCAAAGCCTGGAAGGGACAGATCAGCTGCAGGAAACCAGCCGTCAAATTCTGCTTTTGCTCCAGAGCCTCCAGCAGTTTGCAAAGTAAGTTGAGAAGTCAATGAATGAGGCTGGTGGTTACGTTTTCTAAAAAGTGGGATTTAAACATATTTCGCTTCAGGATTCTTGGAGCCTCTGCGTGGAGTGTTCTCTTTAATCTCTTTCTACTAAGTCCTGGTTGATAATTTAGCAGAACATCAAGCTCTATGCAGGCAGTCCTCGTTTTACGACCACATTGGAGCTGCAGACTTCTGTTGCTCAATGGGACATTTCTTGAGCTCGGCTCCATTTTTCTGCCTTTCTAGAGGCTCTGTGAAGCGATGCAAAGAGAAGAGCTTGGAGGAAGCTTCTCAGCTAATGGCAAGACTGAGCCGAGGATTATGGGAATTGGATCGGGAGAACAGGTTACCGTTGGTGCGTTGCGTGCTCAGGTGTCAAATGGAGACCACAACCAGCTCCAGCTTGTTCTGCCGACTTGAAAAGGTGCCCGTATACTCACCATCTCGCTAACACATTTACTAAGAAATTTGAATATAGAATAGAATGGAATAGAATAGAATAGAATAGAATATATGGAATAGAATAGAATAGAATAGAATAGAATAGAATAGAATAGAATAGAATAGAATAGAATAGAATAGAATAACAGAGTCAGAAGGGATCTTGGGGGTCATCTAGTCCAACCCCCTGCTCAGACAGAAAATCCTATACCATTTCAGACAAGTGGTTGTCCAATCTCTTCCAGTATTGGAGCATTCACCACTTCTGGAGGCAGGTTGTTCCACTGGTTAATTGTTCTAAGTGTCAGGAAGTTTCTCCTTAGTTCTAGGTTGCTTCTCTCCTTGGTTAGTTTCCATCCGTTTCCATCCTTCGGGTGCTTCGGAGAATAGTTTGACTCCCTCTTTGGGGCAGCCCCTTTGTGACATACTATTAGTACGATGAGACCATGACAGAAGTAAACATATACACACAATCCACATAATTATGTACAAAATGTCTACGGGGGGACAGCAGTGACCTCATAACTGCATGTCCCATTCAAAGGCAATCGTCTCTGGTGTTGCTTTAGGCAGATCTAGGGAACCAGAGAATGCATGTTGTGGCCAATCTCCCACAATATATTTAATAGTTTGCATATCAGCACCACAATCCCAACAAAGGGAGTCTTTCCATCCCCACTGATAAAGGGACAGAGGCACTTCTTCTGGTGTGTGTGTGTTAACCAAATGATGATAGGTGTGTATCTGTGTATTCTAAGGTTGTGGCCCTTAGATTTTTTTTCCTCCTCCCTATAGATTGTTGGGAAGCTATCAGAGTGGGACAAAAACTTGGTCTCTGAAGAGTTGACCAGGCTGATGGATGGGCTGATTGAAGATGAAAAGGTAAAAATGGGTGATGGATCTTGGATCTGGCGTTTTGATCCTTTTCCATTGGACTTTTTCTTTGGAGGATGTAGTTTCTTGGTTTGTCATCTTCCGTGTCTGCGTTCTGTGGAGCTATCTGAGCATGGTGGCTTTCTTGCAGACATTTTATGACCCAACTAGGTAACCTCTTCAAGGCTGAAGGGAGGGGGCTTTGCAGGGAGGAGAAGGAGGAGGACTGTGGGGTCCTTGGTGAGCTTGCTTGTTTTCTGGCAGACGTTTCATTACCCAACTAGGTAACATCATCAGTGCTAGAAGGGGGTGGGGCAGAGACCAAAGATACAACAAGATTATTTTAGCCTTGATGTTCTCTTGTTTTAGAAAAAGAAATAGCAAAGTAATCTTCTCCTTATCCAGAGCTGGCAAGAAGCTCAGGGCTGTGATTGTGAGCAGAAGCCAAACTGTGGTGCGAAATAATGTGATATGGAATCACCTGAAAATCTGATCCATTTTCTCTTCCTTTCAGCCAGCGTCTTCGGAAGTTCTCCAGACAGGTGAGTCTCTCCCTCTTTCGCAGTTACAAAATTTACGCCTGGCATTCCCAAGCTGAATCAGAGCAAGTCTCTTTCTCCAAAGGAACGCAACTATAGATCCTCTTTGACTTGCACTACTACGTGCTATGCCAGCTCCTGTCCATAAAGGTGTGAATTCTTCTACCAAATAGCGCAATCAATTTTGTCCTCTGTTCCATCCCTGAATAGTCAGCCTCTTTCTTGAAGAAAGTTCCCTGGGACACCAGTACTGGAAAAAGAATTTGAGGAAGCTCTTGAGAAGCATTGCTGCTACGTTTGATTTCCTTCTCCAAGATTCAAACGCCGGTCAGGTGGAGTGGCATTACGTCACAACAAAGGTGAAAAAAAAGGTGGCACGTTATGACCTGGTTTGAATATGTCTTCTTTTAAAGGAGGAGGAGCAGTGGTTTGGCCCCACCCCAAGTTAAACGGTGAAGGGCTGAAAGGGACTTTGGTGGTCTTCTAAGTCCAACCCCTTGCTCAAACAGGAGACCCTATACCATTTCAGACAATCTCCTCCTCGCTTCTTTAGGTTTGCCTGCATCTCTTCAAAGGATTGTCGGAGGAAATCCAGCCCCTTGTCTGGGCTGAAACAGATCACAGAGAAATTCTACAAAAGATCTTGAGATCCCTGGTGCATACCATCATGGATCAGGTGAGGTTATCTGTCGGGGCGGAAGATCAGGTCCACACATGAAGGTCCAATTCAACGGACTGATTGCTAAACAGCTAATTTAATTGTTAGCCCTTGCTAGGAGAGAGAAAGGGGTCAATGAAATTCCAGGAAGGTCGGACTTGTTTGTGGCTATTTAGGGATGCTAGGCTGATGCCTCTTTTAATTCCACCCCAGGTTCTGCCACTCCTTCTCCCACAATATCCTGGGAAGAGAAGTGGAATTTTTTTTAGTCCCGTGAGACTAAGCACTTCCATAATTTCTTGACCGACTGAGTGAAGATGTGTGTTTTTTGTTTTGTCTGTCCTGAATCTTCCATCATTCAGCATCAGTGAAAAGTCCATCTTCTCGGATCATGAAAGAAGAATAAAGATTTTTGGAGTTCCATGAGGAAAAAAAAAAACACCACCCAACTTGTCTTTTTCTTTCTGTCCTTCTATTTCTGGGGCTGTGGGCGGCATCATTTATGCCACTGAACGAGAGCCACCCGTATTGAAATCAGGATCTGCAGGTTTTTAGGAGATGCCCAGATTTGCAGAACCTACAAATCTGGAGGACAGTCTACGGGGGACACCAAAATAGCCACATCTGAGACTTGTGGGGTGGAAGAACCGGCATTAAACCCTAAGAGAAATTTGAACTGCATCCTTTTGTTAGAGATCAAATCTCTACTTCCAACAAAAAACTTGGCTTAGGTTGACCTCTTTGTTACTGATTTTAGACCTCCTGCAAAGACAATTGTCTCCTGGCTGGAACGACGCTGAGCATGATGGTGAACACAGCCCCGGAATTTAAAGCAGGAGCCAAAGCAATCTGGGGGTTTTACCTGCTCATGAATTGCAATGGCCGAAGAACTGAGGGACGCAAAGGTATGCTCAGATTTGTTTCCCTTTTCTGGATGCACATTTCCAGCTCTGCTTCTGGCCCATTCATTTATTGGGGGGGGGCGCCATTTGATTGCAAATATTGCACAGCTTATGCCTCTTGGAGAAACATCTTTGAGAAAACTCACAGATTTTTCCCCCCTAATTGTCTGTAAGTCTCAAGTGGTTCTGATCAGCAAGTTTTCTCCTTCTCCTCATCTCCTTTTCCTCATCCTTCTTCTTCCCTCTCTTCCTGCTCATCTCCTTCTCTTCATCTTCTCCATCTCTTCCTCATCTCCTTCTCATCTTCTCCTCCTTCCTCATCTTTCTTCTTCCCTCTCCTCCTGCTCATCTCCTTCTCTTCCTCCTCTCCTTCTCCTTCTCTTCTCATCTTTCTTCTTCCCCCTCCTCTTGCTCCTCCTCTCCTTCTCTTTCTGATCTTCTCATTCTCATCTTCTCATCTTTCTTCTTCCCCCTCCTCCTGCTGCTTCTCATCTCTTTCTCTTCCTCATCTTCTCCTTCTCTTCTCCTTCTCATCTTTCTTCTTCCCCCTCCTCCTGCTCCTCCTCTCCTTCTCTTTCTGATCTCATTCTCATCTTCTCCTCATCTTTCTTCTTCCCCCTGCTGCTTCTCATCTCCTTCTCTTCCTCATCTTCTCCTTCTCTTCTCCTTCTCATCTTTCTTCTTCCCCCTCCTTCTGTTCCTCATCTCCTTCTCTTCCTCATCTTCTCCTTCTCTTCTTCCCCTTCCTCAACTTCCTTCTCCTTGTCTTCCTTCCTCTCCCTCATCTTTTCCCCTCCCCCTCCTCTTCTCTCTCCTCCTCTTCCTCCTCCTCCTTCTGAGCCAACTGAATGACAGAATTGATATTGATAATATATCTGGATGTTATTTTTTTGCCCAGAGGGGTGCCAATTTGGGGCCCTTTGGATCCCCACTTCCATCCTGAGGCCAGGTGGTCTGGAGAAGCTGGTCTTGACCCGGGGCTTATTAACGTGTTGCAAGAAAGAGATCTTGAGCTGTCTCCTGGAGGGCGCCCCACCAAAGGTACCCGTCAGCATTTTCTTTTCAAATAAAGCCTGAAACATAATTATTCCAGCATAACATAAACCATTACCCCAAGCTGGGTAAACATCAGGGCCAAAGTCATGTGTGTGTGTGTGTGTGTATATATATATGTGTGTGTGTGTGTGTGTGTGTGTGTGTGTGTGTGTGTGTGTGTGTAACATTTATTGTTTTATCAAGGTATAAAATACAAAGAGAAATTTAAAAATAGGAAATTGAGGGAAGAAAAAAAAAGGGGGGGGGGAGAAAAATCCTGAATGACCGCTTCACTAACTCGAAGAGCAATTGACGTTTCTGTCCAGATTCCATAAATATATTTCAGATTCCATATACAAGACTCGAGTTTTAAAAAACTGCTTTTAAACTTGAGTCCTGTGGATTGGCACTCCCCGCTTCCATAAAGAAGTTGCCTTGTTTACAAAACAAATCATCTTAAATTCATTATCTATCTATTTATCTCTATCTCTATATTTACCTCTACCTCTCTTATATATATATATATATATATGTCTCTCTATATATCTCTATCTCTATCTATTTCTCTATCTCTGTATCTCTCTATCTCTATCTGTCTCTATATCTCTATCTCCCTATCTATCTATCTATCTATCTATCTATCTATCTATCTATCTATTTATCTCTACCTCTATCTCTCTCTCATATATATATATATATGTCTCTCTATATATATCTCTATCTATCTCTATCTCTCTCTCTGTCTCTATATCTCTATCTCTCTATCTCCCTCTTTATCTATCTATCTATCTGTCTGTCTGTCTGTCTGTCTGTCTCTTTATTCTCTCTCTCTCTCTATTTATCACACCTATCTCTATCTCTGTCTCTATATGAATTTAAAAGGATTTGTTTACACACACACACACACACGTGTGTGTGTGGTTGCATTTTCCGTTTTTCCTTAACTTCACTATTTTTTGCTCTGCAGCCGTGCTTGTTGCTGGATGTCCTCTTTCCAGCTATTTTAGAGGTGATGGAGGATCCCACCAGCTGCCCTTATTACTCCTTTCAAGGTAGGCAGAACCACGAGCCAACATCCTGTTCTTCTCTTCTCCCTTCATGTAGAATCATCTACAGTCAGTCCTCCACTTACAACCACGGTTAGGAACAAAATAAGTGCTAGTAGGGAATGGGGTTTACTAGTTTATATTCTACTGTAGTAGCTAGACCCGTCAGTGTTGATGTCAGTCTTGGAGGTTCTGCTTGTGGCTACGTAGGGATTCTAGGCTGATCCCCCTTTTAACTCTGCCCCCAATATGAACTGAAAGCAAACCCCACTGATGAGGTTACCTAGTTTGGGTAATGAAACATCTGCAAGGAAACCACCAAGTTCAGAGAGCATCAAGAACCCCACAGTTGTCTTCTTCTTCTTCTTCTTCTTCTTCTTCTTCTTCTTCTTCTTCTTCTTCTTCTTCTTCTTCTTCTTCTTCTTCGTCCTTCTTCTTCTTCTTCTTCTTCTTCTTCTTCTTCTTCTTCTTCTTCTTCTTCTTCTTCTTCTTCTTCTTCTTCTTCTTCTTCTCCTTCTCCTCCTCCTCCTCCTCCTTCTTCTTCTCCCTTCTTCTCCCTTTTCCCTTCTTCCTCCTCCTCCTCCTCTCCACAAACCCCACTCCCTTCTAGCTCTGATGATGTTCCCTAGTTGGGTCGTGAAAGGTCTGCCAGAAAACCACCCAGCTCACCCAGGACCTCTCCTGACCAGAACGGAAATCCAACACGCTTGGAGAAGACCAAGTTTGGAGACGGACCAAACTTAAAGAAAAAAGGAACAAGTAACTAGAATGCAATAATCATTTCCACATTGCCTTTAATAGCCTAACGGATTCCTTGCTGCTTTTCCAGTTTTTTCTCTGTGGCTCCAACGTGTCCGAGAATGTTTGGACAACCTCTGGAAAGTCAAGGAGAGCGTGTTGCTGGGTGACAATTCAGCCCTTCTCCAAAAGCTAAACAAGATTGTTTGGAACAATGCAGAAAGTCCAGTAAGGCACCATATTTATTTTATTTAAATGCATGGGGGGGGAAGGTTTCATTCTTTTTGCTCTCCAAACATCACCCAGTGAAGCTTACGTTGTGAAACGTAATGAGCCACACAAAAGCTTTGCCATTCTTATATCTGGGAGGAGTTGACGCTTATTATTCCATCGTTTTATATAACGTCGCTACCTTGTGGTGGTTTACCTGTGCACAGTGTCTTTGATCTTCCAATGCCAAACAATAAATAAGTAAATAAATAACCATTTGTACATGATAATATAATATACAAACAAGAGAGCCAGTTTGGTGTACCGGTTAAGGCATTATGCTAAAAAGTGGGTGACTGGGAATTCTAGTCCTGCCTTAGATGTAAAGCCAGTTGGATGACCTTGGACCAGTCACTCTCTCTCATCACAGAAAGAAGGAAAGAAAAAAATGCTTCTGAAAATCATGCCACGAAAACTGCAGACACCAGAAATCAAGGCCAGAAGTCAAGTTCAAAACACCCCCCAAAAAGTAAATAAACAATATAAGAGCGATAGCATGGGAGAAGATGCAAATAACGAGCCGAATCAACTAAAAAATAAACCTAATTTAAAAAAAAAAGCCTTGACTGGACAACAATAAGGGAGAGGAGATGAGGTCCCAAAACGTTTGATGGTTAATTGATCCCAAACTCTCGTGTCTCTTTTCATGTAGAATAACTTCCGTGTTTTCATTTCTTTATCTACTTCTCTCCCATCCTGGTCCAGACAGAAGGAGTGAGCGATTTTGTCCACAGCGCCTTTCGCATTCTCTTAGAGATCTACAGCCTGGAAGGTGATCGTTTTGGGGATCCAGAGAGACCCCTGTTTAGAGAGTACTTGCAAAGGGTTATTTTCATGCCTTGGGAAGCAAGAGCAAAGTATTTCGCACTCACTGCCGTTCTTCCCTACTTGGGCCCTCAACAAGTGAGTATCTCTTTCACTATAATTACAGTACAGATTTGGCCATCTGGGTTGTTGTTGAAATAATAATAATAATAATATCTGTAATACCATCAAACATCCACATCTGCCTATCCCGGGTCCTGGGTAAGGACTCGATAGGTAGACAAAATGCCAAATCCAGTCTGAACATCTGGCTGACTGTGCGATGATCCATAATAAAGTTTGAAGGGACCTTGGAGGTCATCTAGTCCAACCCTCTGCTCAGGCAGGAAAGCCTATACTATTTCAGACAAATGGTTGTCCAGTCTCTTTTTAAAAACCTCCAGTGTTGGAGCATTCACTGCTTCTGGAGGCAGGTTGTTCCACTGGTTAATTGTTCTGACTGTTAGGAAATTTCTCCTTAGTTCCAGGTTGCTTCTCTCCTTGATTAGTTTCCATCTGTTGCTTCTTGTTCTGTCTTCAGTGCTTTGGAGAATAGCTTGACTCCCTCTTCTTTGGGGCAGCCCCTGAGATACTGGAAGACTGCAATCCTGTCCCCCCTCGTCCTTCTCTTCATTAAACTAGACATACCCAATTCCAGCAACCGTTCCTTATATGCTTTAGCCTCCAGTCCCCTAATCATCTTTGTTGCTCTTCTCTGCACTCTTTCTAGAGTCTCAGCATCTTTTTTACATCGTGGTGACCAAAACTGGATGCCGTATTCCAAGTGTGGCCTTACCAAGGCCTTGTAAAGCGGTATTAACACTTCACGTGATGTTGATTCTATCCCTCTGTTAATGCAGCCTAGCACTGTGTTGTCTGCATTAACTGCCAATCTTTAGAATTGCCTAGGTGTACAATAGTTGATCATGGTAGTTAAAATCATGCGCAGTTACCCAATGACCCTCTTAATGACGGGCACAGCTTACAGTAATACAGAGAGTCCTTGACTTATAACCATTCCTTTAGTGACCGTTCAAAGTTACAACAGTACTGAAAAAAGAGACCTATGGCTGTTTTTCACACTTCACGACCGTCGCAGCATCTCCATGGTTAGGTGGTCCAAATTCAGACGCTTGGCAACTGACTTGTATTTATGACGGTTGCAGTCTCTCAGGGGTCATGTGATCCCCTTTTGCGACTTTCTGACAAGCAAAGTCAATGGGGGAAGACAGATTCACTTAACAACCAGGTTGCTAACTTAACAACTGTAGTGACTCATTTAACAACTTTGGCGAGAAAAGTCGTAAAACGGGGCAAAACTCACGTAACGACGGTCTCACTTAGCCACAGGAATTTGGGGCTCAGTTGTGGCCATACTTCGAAGGACTACCTGTAACTGTAATTGTAGGTTCAGCTACCGTTGTAAGTCAAGGACTTCCCTGCATATGTTATCAAGTACATTCCGTTCTTAAATCTTTGTTTTTCCTGAAGTTCCTCCCCAACCTATCTGGATATTAAATATGTCGGGTAAAAGAATCATGGTTTTATGGGTTCTGATGATATTGTTTTGTGGATCTTCCTGCCAAGGTTCTGGACATCTACATGGATCTCCCTCAAGATCTCTTCAACTGCTTGTCCACCAACCGTTTGTGCCCAGTCGCTTCGGATTTGTACAAAACTTTCCTACAGCGGCAGCGCAAAGCCTGGATGGAGTTGCAGGATGAGGTCTCAGAAGAACAGCTGGCTCACAAGTGGGCCAGTTGTTGGTTACCGACCCTCTCCAGGGCCTTGACCTCTTCTGACTCATTCCTTCAGAGCAACGCCTCCAGCCACCTTCTCGGGTGGACTTTGAAAGTCTTTCCTGCTTCTTACGCCTTGCTGGCCTCAAGATTTGCCGGCAGGGAAGCCTCTCAGCTCCGAGCATGGGTCTCCTTGTTGAACGTTCAGAAGACCATTGCGGGAGACTTGCTCACAGATGAGGAGACTCTTCAGAGACTCACCTGCTGCCTCTTCTCCAAAGAAGAACACGTCCGTCTGGCAGCGTTGGGCTTCCTCTGCTTAGCTCCCAGGACTAGTCAAGGCTTATCACAGAGGGAGATCCAACTCTTAAAAGAATTCCTGCCCCTGAATTTGAGTTGCAACTCCTCGTCTTTTCGGCAACTCCTTCAAGCCATGGTGAAGAAGGCTTTGGTCAGGATGAGGGACAGTTCTCTTGCTGGGCTTCGGCCACCGAAGGTGAACCAGAAGGAAAGCTCGGTCAGAAAGGAACGAGAAAGGGGCATCCTACAAGCTGTAGGTGAGTTATCTCCCAGCTGTGTTTAGAGGCTGTGCCAAAAAATAATGAGTCAACTTTAGGTAGTCCTCAAATTAAGATCACATGCTGCCTGTTGGATTTTGAAATTGACCAAAACTGGCAGAGATGGTGGAATTGACTGCTTTGATTGGAGATAATGGACTAGACAGGTTTATAAGAAACTGTCTAGTCCGGTTGTGGACTTTTTGTGCTCCAAATATAGTAACAGATGGTTGACGGAGGGATTTGAAGATTAGTGTAACGTTTAGCTCAACTTCTTGACTGTTTTTTTCTGTTTATGTATTGTTTATTTATTTATTGTTTTAACAATAAATAACTGGAGTATACTCTTCCCGGAGATCGAAGATTGCATCATTGAATAATGATGCAATATAGGTTCATGGCATCCTGCAAAATGTATCTTTCTTTATCTAGGTTTTGTAGATTGGCTGCTGCAGCTCTGCACAACATCTCTGATGTCAGGTTCCAACTACCAAAGAAGGAAGACAGGTCTTCTTCTCCTGGCAGCTATCATGGAGACCTTCACAGACACTTGGAGACCCGAGAGAAAGAAGGGTCAGCCTCCACGTAAGCGGCTTTATTCCGCCCTAACCAGCCCAGGGCTGTCTACAAGGGTTGGCCTTCAAATCTCAGATTCCCTCAATCAGCACCAGCCCCTGCGGTGGCATAGCCTTCCAAACTGGGGATCCGGTGAAGACAGTGGTGGAATCCCCACCTCAACTGGAGGGAGGCGTTAAGACGGGACGAAGCTTAGAGTGCTTGCGCTGCAGAAAGCGGCACAGGAATTCCCGAAGCTGTAGTTGACCGTTACCAAGGGAATGCAGTCAGTCTGGTGAGATTCTTGTAACTGAGGCAAGTAGCAATAAAGATTCTGCTTGAGACTGTTCGTAAGTGGTTTTAGTTGCTCGCACCTGATTAAGGCTTTCTGTGTTTATTGAGAATGCATGGTCCTCCATGTTAGAAGACACCATAGTGCAGAGCAATTAAGATGGTTAAGGGCTCAAAGAGCAATTGCAGGAATTGGATATGGCTAGTCTAGGGAAAAGAAGGACTGGGGGGGGGGTATTCCAGTATTTGAGGGGCTGCCAAAAGAAGAGGGAATCAACTTATTTTCCAAAGCACCAGAAGGCAAGACAAGAAGCAATGGATGGAAACTAACCAAGGAGAGAAACAAGCTAGAACTACGGAGAAATTTCCTACCGGTGTGATCCATTAACCAGGGGAATGACTTGCCTCCAGAAGTTGTGGGTGCTCCATCACTGGAGGTCTTTAAGAAGAGACTGGATAGCCACTTGTCTGAAATGGTATAGGGTCTACTGTTTGAGCAGGGGGTTGGACTGGAAGACCTCCAAAGACCCTTCCAGCTCTATTCTGATTGATTGATAACCGGAGAGTGGGTGGGATGTACAGAAGAGGTGGACTAGAATAATTTGAAAAAGGATTGGACTGGCCATCTTCTCCCCGTAAGATCTAGTTCACCAGATTTGCTTCTTCCTTCTTTCTAAATCTAACCTATGTTTGCTGTCTCTCCAGGCAACATGGCTACCTTATTATGCTGGTCCAGGAGTAAAGGCTACTGGGACTTTTTTTCGACAGGGAACACATTGGCACTGTTGAGCTGTTTGCAAGATAGCACAAATGAGGTATGGCGGCCCACCTCGCCTTCGCTAATGTTGACCATCCACAAAGATAAGAATTTACAGCGTAGCTTCAAATGTCCATCATGTATCTCAGGCTAACCAATTCAGGCACGCTGGCTGAGGAATTCTGGGAGCTGAAGTCCACAAGTCATCAAAGGGCCAAGTTTGAAGACCCCCTGCACTAGCTGTTCTCCTTCTTTGGTAGTTGGGACCTGACCTCAGAGACGTCATGCAGAGCTGCAGCAGCCAATCTACAAAGTCTAGATAAAGTCCTTCTCCTGTCTCCACGCAGATCCGTGAGTTGGCTTCAGAGTTGGTGATCTCTTACTTTCCACCAGCTTTGCCAGGCTCCACTGCTGTAGCTCTCTTTGGATGGGCCCTAGAAGCCGTAAGCAGCAGTCCCCGGGTTCAAGAGAGTGAAGCAGGAGCAGTCGTGATGAAGAGTCTTCTTCCCAAGTAAGGCTTTGCGTCCTACGTTTGTGGGCCTCTAAGTTGCATTGCTGAAATAAAGAGACAGGTGGGTGGGTGGGAGGAAAGAAGGGAGGAAAGGAGGGAGGGAGGGAGGAAGGAAGGAAGGAAGGAAGGAAGGAAGGAAGGAAGGAAGGGAAGAAGGGAGGAGGGGAGGGAGGAAAGAAGGAAGGAGGGAGGGAGGGAAGGAAGGAAGAAGGGAGGGAGGCAGGGAAGGAGGAAGACAAGTCAGGATAACAGATTTGGAAGGGACCTTGGAGATCTTCTAGATGAACCCCCTGCTCGCCATCCTTGCCCATCACTTAATCAGATCTTCAAGGAATTATAGGAAGGCAGCCATGTTGTCAGACCGGTGGCTGAAACAAATCAAAAACGAGAGTTGATTTCCTTTGAAGCCAACTTTGTAAAAAAAAAAAAAAAGGAAGATTCTAGGAAATCTGCCTAATGATTTACCGGCTCAGATCCCCTAAATGTATAGGTGAATTTGGAATTTTCTGTGCGCGTGTACCATGGGGGAAGATAAAATGTAAAGTTCTTCACCCTTGAAAACCGAAAACGAGACTCAGATCGGTCATGTGGCTTTATAACCGTCACTAGCCGCCAGAAGAGACAGGCTCCATTATGGACATAAATCAAGGACTACCTGTAATTACAGGGGCATTTGCTTGACTGAGCATCACTTCTTCCCTCAACCCAATAGTTACTGTGTTGAAAGTTGAGTCTGTTGGGCCAACGTGACCTCTGCTTAACTCCATCAGGTTGGATAGTCATATCTTGAGGCTGTCATCACTGGAAACGGAGAAGGAGCGATCTGTGCCGTGCAAATACCTCTCTTTTCTTGAACATTTGCTCAACCTGCTCCAGAAGCATTTTGTCACGGCGTCTCGTGACTTATTGCTGGCAGCTCACACTACCCCAATACATGGTCAGTACCTTGTTTTTTTCTCCAGACCTTCTACAGTTTGGCTACCTAAGCACCAGCACTTATCAAATTCACCATTCAGATCTAGGTTGCATGATCTAATTTTGAGCAGCCAGGCAGGAATGAGACTATAGTTCCAGGTCTTCTGTTGGTTTCCTTGCAGGGGTGATTTTGGGGTTACGGAGATGCCTGCTCGAAATACCGGACGTTGTGTCTTCTATGTTAGAAGGGCAAAAGGCGCCACACTGGCGGTTATTCTTCCAGCGTTTGATGATGACGATGAGAGACATCAGCAATTTACTCTTGAGCGTGTTGCAGAGTAATCAAATGCCAAGCACAGATCAACACGGTAAGCCCAAGCCAGCATACAAAAAAAATTGTAATCAGAATCCTTTAAGCTTTTCTCAACCTTGGCAGGTTTAAGAACTCCCAGAATTCTCCAGCTTTGAACTGTGGGGTCCTTGGTGCTCTCTGAGCTTAGTTGCTTTCTTACAGACGTCTCATTAACCAATTAAGTAACATCATCAATGCTAAGAGGGAGAGGGGTTTGCAGAGGGGAGGAGGAAGAGGAGGAGGGAAGACGGACAGACTATGGGGTTTTTGATGCTCTCTGAGCTTGGTGGTTTTCTTACGGACGTCTCATTACCTGACTAGGCAACATCATCAGTGCAAATGTGGAATTCCTTGTAACAAATTCTTAGCTGGTTTTGTTTGGAAAGTTCCAACCGGAAGCATGAATCAGGAGTTAACTAATAAGACCCTGCCAAGCAAAACGGTCATGTGCAACTTATGACTTATCAACCATTAATCAGGAGAACATTTCTAACTGATGTTGACGAGCATAAGGCCATCTCTGGATTACCTCCATGCTCAATTCTTGAGGCCCGTCTGAAATCAATCGGCAAAGAATTATGCCAGCCAAACGCCTTATTTTTTTTAATTTTATTTTGGACAGTTGCATCACCCTCCTTTGCAGACATGGGAAATGCCATCAGCAGCTTTATCCAGCTAGGAAAAGGCTTGGAGGAGGAGAGGGAGGAGGATTTGATTCTCCTCTCCGAGGACCACAGCCTCATTTTGACCTGTTGTTGGGTCTCAGTTAAAGTGAGTAGTTTGTTACTACTTGAGTTTGTTGCGTGAAAGATTTAATCCGGTCTTCTGTGGTCAAAAGGGCACTTATTTGAGCATGGTGGCTTTTTTGCAGACATTTTATGACCCAACTAGGTAACATCTTCAGGGCTAGAAGGGAGGGGGATTTGCAGGGAGGAGGAGGAGGAGGAGGAGGAAAACTGTGCTTGCTTGTTTTCTGGCAGACATTTCGTGACCCAACTAGGTAACATCATCAATGCTAGATGCCTCCAAAACCTCTGTAGCATCGAAGAGGGGAGAACGCCCTTAGTTACTCCATGTAACTTTTTCTCACCTTTACTTTTCATAAGGAAATTGGGCTGCTCTTGGGAGGCCTGGCAGAGAAAGTACTACCTCAGCCCCTCTCGGCAGGATGTGAGCCTCTCCTACCTCTTCAGATTGTAAACGTGGCTTCCAAAGTATTCCAAGACATTTTGCTGAAGTGCCGGCACTGGGTAAGAGATCCCCTGTCCATTAAACCAAGGCAGGCCAGCGAAGGGACTTTGACCCTGGTTGCTGGGTTGCCATCAGTGCAATATTGAGTTTGATTCACGATTCAAGCAATGGGTGGAAACTAACCAAGGAGAGAAGCAACCTGGAACTAAGGAGGAATTTCCTGACAGTGGGAACAATGAATCAGTGGAACAGCCTGCCTCCAGAAGTTGTGAATGCTCCAACACTGGAGGTTTTTAAGAAGAGACTGGAGAACCATTTGTCTGAAATGGTACAGGGTTTCCTGCCTGAGCAGGGGGTTGGACTAGAAGACCTCCAAGGTCCCTTCCAACTCTTATTCTGTGATTCGTGATTTGGTGGAAGAGAATTAGACTTGGGCTGGAAGGATCTGATCTTTATACTTGGTTATCAAGATCACTTGAGGATTAAAGCTAGTCTCCCACTCTCAGCAATTTCTCTCTGAGTACAAAATGGGTTGTGGGGTGAAATATGGAATCAGCTACAGGTAGTCCTTGCCTTATGAGCAGAATCGGGACTGGAATTTTCCCCCGTGTCCGTAAATCTGATCTTTGACAAGAACTTTGACCGACTCTCCCCCCCCCCCTTTTTTTTTTCCTTTTCTGATAGGGAGCTGTGGAAGGCTGCAGTGTGGGCTTCACAAAGTTTTGTACCACTCTCCTAAGTCACCCCAGCCCAGAGCTACAAAACATCCCAGGGAATATGCTAAGACAGGTAGGATCTCATTTAGCAATTGCCAGCATGTATTTATTTATTTGAGGAAATTTATATGGCCACCCACTCACTCTCGGCAACTCTGAGCAGCTTACAAAAAAAAAAAAAAAAAAAAAAAGGAACATGCCACAATTGTTCCTCCAATTGGCTAAGGCAGGACTTGAACTCACGTTCCCTTGCTTTCTAAGCCGGTTCCTTAACCACTAAACCAAACTGTCTTTTTTTACAATCTCTTTCAAGGGTTTGGCCTTGTTAAGCAGCCGCAGAGGAAGCTCCATTACTCGCAGAGCGGCTGGATTCCCGATGCTTTTCCTAGGCATTGTGACAGGGGAAGATCCCGCCAAGTCACGGCCTCTTCTGACTCACTGCATGCAGACCTTGCTCACCTTGGCCAACCAATCCGTTTCCCACAGTTCAGACCAGACCGTGGATTTGCCCCAGGTAAGGACACCGCTGGATGAAAGGCCACCAGAGTCACTTGGGATTAACGAAAGTCGGTAACTATCAGGAAGGAAACTTTGGCAGCTACGTATCTCTTCGTTTCAACTTGCCATTAGAGTAAGGGGAGGGGGTGGGAGGTGTTGCTTTAGAACGGGTTAAATGGAGAAATGAAACCTTTACGATTTCACTGAAGACAGTGAGAGCCTGAAACCTCTCCAAGGACACGGCAGCAGGTGTGGAGGAGAAGCAGACAGTTCCCATAACAAAGTGAAATTGTTTACATGGACTACATAAGAGGGCGGGGGTTTGGCCAGAGAAATTATTGTTTAATTCTATGAACCGGGTGTCTGGGAACCTCAGAGTCAGTTTTGCTTTGACATTACGAGGCAGTGTATTCAATAAACAGTAACAGGTATTTCGTAGTCTCGCACTGATGATGTCACCTAATTGGGTAGTGAAACATCTGCAAGAAAACCACCAAGCTCAGAGAGCACCGAGGATCCCACAGTTCTGTTAGCTTTGCCTTCAGGCATCCTGTTAAGCCACCAGGTTTTGTTGTGTGAACTCAGAATCACTGGGGTTCATCAACCCTACAGCCCAGTGAAGATGTGAACCGTTGAACCCTGAAAAAGACAAGCCAGGACTTTGTGTGATGTACACACCGAGTCCCAACATTCTTATCAATTTTGAGTTCTCTCTTTTCCTTGATCTTCTCTAGGTTTCTGCAATCCACGTGCTTCAGACATTGGTCCGTGGTTCCAACCTTGGACCAGCTCTACAACAACACATCACACCTCTGATGATGGTGGTGTTCAAGGCTCTAAACTCCCCTAGTTGGGCGATGAGAAACGCAGCCAACCAACTGTTGGGTAAATCCATTCATTGTCTTCCCTTGGAATTTTATTTATTTATTTATGAGACTTATATACCGCTTTAAGTGCAAGCACTCTCTAAGCGGTGTACACCAGTAAGCAATGTATATATATATATATATTTACATTGCCCCCAACAATCTGGGTCCTCATTTTACCTACCCCGGAAGGATGGAAGGCTGAGTCAACCTTGAGCCGGTGAGATTTGAACCGCTGACTGCTGAACACAATCAGCTAAAGTGGCCCGCAGTACTGCACTCTAACTGCTGCGCCACCTCGAATCTTAGATCTGTTGGATTGCCAGGATGACTTCAACCCAGATTAAGCGAATCGCTGCCGTTGTTAAATTAGTCACACGGTTGTTAAGTGAATCTGGCTTCCCCATTGACTTTGCTCGTCAGAAGGTTGAAAAAAGGGGATCACGTGACCCCGGGATGCTGCAACGGTCATATATGTGAGTCAGTTGCCAAGTGTCCAAATGTTGATCACGTGACCACAGGGAAGCTGCAAGAGTCGTAAATGTGAAAAATGGTCTTCAGTCTCTTTTTTCGCTGCCGTTGTAACTCTGAACGGTCACTAAATGGACTGTTGTAATTGAAGGACTACTTGTAGGGCCAGCTCTGCAGTTGTTGAAAAGAACAAAACCTTGCTCGTGCAAATGATAAATGGAAGCTCTCATCTTCATCAGACTTATTGACGTAGCTCGATCAAACTCAACAGGATTGCAAAATAGAATTATTATCTCTCTTTCAGGAATCAAGGAAGAGGTCTGCTTGCACCCCCAATATATTTGAACATGCATCTTTACGCATACAGGCAATCCTCATTGAGCAGCTGCCCCGTTTAGCGACCATTCACAGTTATGACAGGGAGGAAAAAGTAACTTTGCAACCCATTTTCGTATCGATGACCTTTGCAGGACCACAAAGCCGAGGAAAGCTGAAGTTAGATCATCAGCACCATTACGGTTCCATTTAGCAACTGCTTTGCTTAATGGCCGAGTTGCCGGTCCTCAACTGTGGTCTCTAAACAAGGGTTACCTGTACATTCATTTGTTTTTTTGGAATGCAGTTCTTTCTAACTTCCTATCCTGCTTTCCCTCCAGGTGCCTTGACCGTTCGCCTTCTCGGACAGAAATGGAGTCCGGATGATAGCCATGCCAAGGATGGAGTAAGCCCTGAAGCTCTTTTTGGCCGACATGTTCATTTGAGAAGCATCCTACTCAGAGAATTGACCCTGGCTGTGGAAAGGTCCATATCCGAAGGACCAAGAAGAGGGAAATTCCACCTCTGTCCTTCCCTGTATGCTGTCCTTACTTTTCTGGCCAAGTTGCAGCCCAGCAGAGACACCCAGGACAGGTGAGTTGAGAAGGGGTAGAAGACTCTTTGGTGGGTCCTCAAAACCCAGGTGACATGCCTAAGGTGGACTCATTGAGTCATTTAAAGTTGGAAAAACTATGAAGACTGTTGAGTTCAAGGCCATTCAGTGTGCAGGAGAACCATCTCAACCATCAGCACTGGCTAGCTAACATCATCACTGATGATGTTACCTAGTTTGGGTAATGAAACATCTGGAAGAGAACAACCAAGCTAAGAGAGCACCAAGGACCTCACAGTCCTTCTTCCCCCCCCCTCCTCCTCCTCCTCCTCCTCCTTCCCTTTCCTTCTCCCATCGCCACTTCATGTCAGAATCTAGCTGGATGGTCATAAATGGTGATCAAAGGACTCCGGGACGCTGTTGTAAATCCATGCCAGTTGCTAAGTGCCTGAATTTTAATCACATGACCATTGGGGATTGCTGCAAGGGTCATAAGCACGAGGACCGGTTGTAAGTTGCATTTTCAGTGCCGTTGTAACTTTGAACAAACAAATGGATGTAAGTGGAGGGCTCTCTGTATTCTGTGTGACGTTCCCATCTATTTCACATTAAATAACCTTTTTAAAACCCGTCTGACTTCAGAGGCTTCTGTCCTCAAGACGGTCATTCGAATTTCTCAATGGTCCTCTGTTCTCCTGAGGTTCCACCCCAAAATGATTAATAATAATAATAATAAAGTTGGAAGGGACCTTGGAGGTTATCTAGTCCAACCCCCTGCTCAGGCAGGAAACCTTATATCATTTCGGACAAATGGCTGTCCAGTCTCTTCTTAAAAACCTCCGTTGTTGGAGCATTCGCTGCTTCTGGAGGCAGGTTGTTCCACTGGTTAATTGTTCTCACTGTCAGGAAGTTTCTCCTTAGTTCCAGGTTGCTTCTCTCCTTGGTTAGTTCCCATCCATTGCTTCTTGTCCTGCCTTCAGGTGCTTTGGAGAATAGCTTGACTCCCTCTTCTTTGGGGCAGCCCCTGAGATACTGGAAGAATGCTATCATGTCCCCCCTCGTCCTTCTCTTCATTAAACTGAACATCATTTTCCTCCTCTTTTGCTCCTTTTATTTTCTTCAGCACTCTGACCTGCTTCCTGGAGCCCCTGATCCAGCTGTCAGGAAACCCCATTTATGCTGTTCGGGTGATGGCAGCTAAGGCTTTGGTGCCTTTCATTCCGGTGACGGACTACGGAAAGATCCTTTTACGGTTGGCGTCCAGATTCCCGCAGCCGGAGGCCGGTCTGTCCCATAATGCACTGCACGGGTGTCTGCTGCAAATCCAGGCTGTGTTGAATCAAGCTTTGAGCGCGAATCGGTACGTTTCTTCCCAACAGTGCAAAAATATGTGATACGTAGCCTTTGACCTACGTCCACAATGGAGCCCAAGAGAGACACTGATTGGGTTTGCCCCATTACCTTTCGTGACCCCAGTTGGTAGGCCAATTGCGGCAGTTTGTTAAATTAGTCAGGAGCTTGTGAAATGAATCTGCCTTCCGCGTTGACTTTGCTTGTCACAAGAGGATCACGTGACTGCAATCGTCATAAGTACAAGTCAGTTGAGCAGCATCTGAATTTTGATCTCCCTGGCCATGATGCAATGGTCATTAAGTGGGGAAAATGGTCATGAATCCCTTTTTTTTTCAGTGCCGTTGTAACCTTGAATGCTCACTAAACGAATGCAAACTCTTGGTCTGCATCGTTTTTAAAGAATTCTACTGCCGTCAACAAATAAATATCTGTGTGCACCGCTAAAACGTTTGATTTTTTTTTTCTGATTTGCAGAACACTTTTATTTTGCAAGACACAGTTTACCCTACTAAGTTGATCTTCTGATATTTCAACATCTGATTTTCAGGCTGCACCCTGAGTTGCTGCGGTCCATTGCCTGTATGATGGAAAGCCACATCTGGATGCTGACGGATACACAACAGTGTCCGTTAATCCGTGCCATTTATCTTCAAGTTTTGTGCTTGCTGCTGGGAAGCTGTGCTCCAAGTTTTGTGCAGCAAGTCTGGGAGCTGTTGTACAGGAACCTGGCCAGTCCTAAACCTGGTTTCTCTCCTGTCCAGGTATCCACAACTGTCAGGGCTGAGAGCCAACACAATGGATCAAACACAAAAGTCCCTACTTTTGCTAAATGCCATGCTTTTAATCCCCAAAAAAAATAGGGTGGGACGGAAAATACTCTCAATGTGCTTTTTCATTCTTGAGAAGTGTGGGACCGCAACTCCCATCCTCCCCATCCAGCTTGCTCAGTGTGGATGAGGGGGATGAAGGTCACAGGTTGAGGAAGGTGGGTTCAGAAGAAACTTGGGAGTAAAGCAATGGCTGAAGATGGGTTATCAGCTTGTGAAAAAAGACACGGTCGTCGGACCAATGGATTTTTTTTTTATCCTCTTCCAGCCTGGTTCTTCCATCTTCTGCCAATGGGCCATCAACTTCCTCTGCTATGAAGCCACAAGGCAGGAATCTCCTGAAAGAATCGGTGATCTTAGCCAGCTTCTGCAAAAGGGAAATCCTGACGTGCAAGCCGCTGTTCTAACTTGGTTGTGGGACAACGAAGAAAGGAAAGGTCTGAAGTCAAACAAGGAACTGCAGTTGATATTCGTGGTGAGATCTGATTTCATCTGAGAAGGGACACATGGAATCAGAGTTGTTGTATCTCAACCATTGATCCATACATGTTCTGCAAAGTGCTGAGGTCCTGAAGTCTTCTAAGGAAATGTAGAGAGGACTGTCAAACTGATATCCTCAAATGTTAGGGCAGGGGTCTTCAAACTTGACAACTTTAAGACTTGTGGACTTCAACTCCCAGAATACCACAGCAAGCAGGACCACAGGACACTGGCTGGCTGAGGAATTCTGGGAGTTGAAGTCCACAAATCTTAAAGTTGCCAAGTTTGAAGACCCTTGTGTTAGGGATTAGACCGAAGTTCTCCAGAAGACCTTCTGGTTCCAGTATTGACCAGTTTGATCAAGGTTCCTTTAAAATTCCAGGAGTCAAAGGGCCACATTCATAATGGATGGGGTCCCACATTGCCATAATGTGATCAGTTTGGTTTAGAGTTTGATGTTCTGTGTGAACCTAGGCATTGTGGCTTGCAAGCCATAGGGTAGTATGAAATGTCAACCAGGTCTTCAACAAACCATGGCTTAGCATGATAACGTAAAAACAAAGAACATCCTTCTTTCTCCTCCCCCTTTGAGGAGCACTTTATATTCCCAATTCTGTTACATGGGCATTTATTTTGGACACAAAATATATTTCCCTTTCTTTGCCTTAGGAAAAATTCAAGGAGGTCCTCAGAAACACAGGAGAGCCCACAGTCCTGAAGCTGTACCTGCAAGTTTTTGTTGACCTGTTTGGCGACCTTGCTCAAAGACAGCCTTTTCCAGAGAAATTAGCTTCGGAGTGTGGTGAAATCCTGTTCTTTATGGTAGAGAGTGACCACGAAGGTCCAGGACTCCGTGATCATGCGCTCTGTGCAGCCACATTGTTCCTGAGTCAACAGTAAGTAGTAGCTTGAGGTCAAGAACCAACCATTGATGAGAAATTGAAGGAACTAGGTATGTCTAAGGCAGTGGTTCTCAGCCTGTGGGTCGGGACCCCATTTGGGGTCGAACGACCATTTCACAGGGGTCGCCAAACAACGCCAGTCCGCCATTTTTTTCCCCCTTTTCCTTAGCTGTGCTACTCCCTTTTATTATATTGGCTTTTGAAAGCCAATAGAATAGAGTCTCTTGAATAGAGTCTAATTCTATTGGCTTTCAAAAGCCAATAGGAATTGTCCAGGCTGTCTCTGCCCTGCTGAGCCCGCCAAAAGCCCCATTCTGCCAACGGTGCTGCACCAGTTGAGTAGTCCACGACTTACGACCGGTTGAGTAGTCCTCGACTTACGACCGGTTGGGGGGTCGCGGCATTAAAAAGGTTGAGAACCACTGGTCTAAGGGATCATCAGGACTTGAATCTGAGACACCTTCCTATAACTAAAAGAGGATCTGGTTGGATAAGAAGCAGATGCACAGCCATTCTTGCAGTGTAACTGTCTCTCTTTTGGGACAGCCCCGAAAGTGATCCTTTATGGGAACGATGGATTGCAACGATAGAGCAGTGGAGCGATTCCCTATCAGACGAGGTGCTCAGGATGGCTACAGCCAAAGCCATCAAAGTGGGCGGCCCAGCACGGATTTGGAGAGTCCGGAAATCGTCCAAGTTACTCCTTCGTTCCCAGGTCCTACGGTATGTCCTTCTGCAAACAGCACCAGCACTCACACCTAGCACTTCAGAACAGTTGCCGGGCCCCCCAAATTCTGCAACCAGAATATAACCAGTTGCAATTCTGCCACTTTTCCCATTTTCTGAATTGTCCCACCAGTCTAGGGAGACTGGATTCTTTCCCCAGTGCTCTGACTTGCAAACATTTGGGGGCATTATGGGTAACTAAGTAAGAACTAGAGGGGCGGGATTAAAATCTGCCAACCTGGGCTGCGTGGAGTATTTGGCACTAGGGACGGAGAGCCCTGTGTAGTCTATCTTTTCAAATAATGGAGGGTCACCTCTCTCCTCCTTGCAATTCAGTGAGCTTATTGCGGTGATATCAAAGTCAGGAAAGGAATGAAATTGAAGACAAAATATTAAAAAGAAAAGAGAGAAATTGCAAAGATTCCCTAGCGAAATTAAGCATTTTCCCATTGTTTTGAGGTTTTTCACCACAACTCAACCTTATGATGATGTCCTTGATTTAAAGGTATCTCATCCCATCTTAACCTCAACGTTCTTCCGTGCCACCACTATTTTTTTCCTCATGAACAACACTGGGATTATGGGGCTCACCTTCGCCTTTCTTTCTTGCCCACCGACACCCCAAAACTCATTCAAATTTCTTTCCTCCTTACCCCTTCTTCAGGCTGATCGAGGCAGCAATTCATCTCCTCCAAGACGAAGAGCAAAAGGTGCGTCACGAAGCTGCTTCCTTCGTCAGCCGTTTGGTGCAGACCCCGCCGCCCATCCAGCAGGTTCAACCTCACAACAGTTGCTTCCAGCTCCAGAGCTCCAAGGCTCTGTTCAGCCTGCTACAGTTCCTGCTCGAAAACTTTGGAGACCATCCTTCTACTTTTGCATCTCTGGTGCACCATCTCCCCATGGTAGAACTCAATGAAACCTTGATGGAGCTGGAAAGCCAGGGGTAAGCGAAGAAAGGAACATAGGCAACCAAGGCAGGGACTCTTTTTTGACCAAGTGTGATGCCAGCCAAATGGGTACATCCCCAACTCCAATTAGGAGCATTGGGATCTGCTAGACCCAACAAACTGCCAGTGGGTCTAACTAGTTGAGTCACTGAATCCTGACTGATCCTTCTTCTCCAGGCTTTGAAGCAGATCAAACTTCAGCTCAAACCTGGTTCCATCACAAGGCTTTAGTTGGGAAGTCCTAATTAGAGCACTGCAATCAAGCTTTCCTCCAATTCTGGTTCTCTGAGGAATTATGGGAATTGGGAGTCCAACAGGCTCCGAGTTGGGAGATGTTGCTGCAGATCAATTCATTCGAGGTCAATCTCTCTCTCAGGCTTTGTTTGCCCAACACGCCTCCTTATTAACCCATGTGGGCTGAGTTCACACAACACGTTTAAGCTAAAGTGTGGTTAACTGTTGATGGTTCAGATTTTACGTGAATGTCATTGTTCTCTTCCCAGAGTGATCAACCTCTACAAAGAGGACGAACCCAACGTTTACACCGAGCCAGCAGTCTTCTCTCAGACGTTATTACCCTTTCTACTCCAACTGGTTGACAAGGCATCCACCTCTCAAAAACTTTGGGAGTCAATACAACTCTGGCTAGAAACCACTGGAGCTGGAATCATCTCCGCCATACAATTCTGTAGACAGTGGTGGAGTCAAGGTGGGTCGGGCAAGGCTTCAAGACCGGGGTGCATTCTACAGCTTAAGAACCACGCTCCCAAAGTGGGTAAAACAAGGGCCCAATTTGGAAGGGATTTGAAGGGTGTGAGATCAGAGAGCCAATTTGGTCTGTGGTTAAGGCACCAGGCCAGACACCAGGAGACAGTGAGTTATAGTCCTGCCTTACGCTGGCTGGGTGACTTTGGGCCAATCACTAGTTAGATGAGTTCTAGTCCCATCTTGGGCAGCAAAGCCATCTGAAGGACTTCAGATTAGTACTTCTCTTTCACCTCATAGGGTTGCTGCTGGGGGGAAAACAGGATGAAGGTGTTGGCTACATTCACCACCTCATTTGTAAAAAATAATAAAGGCAGGATATAAATAAACTTTTTTTAAAAAAGGTATCCTGATTATCTGACCAAGGTTTAGTGTGTGGGGGGGGGCCTTCAAACTTGGCCTCTTTATGACTTGTGGACTTCAACTCCCAGAATTCCTCAGCCTGGCATTCTGGGAGTTGAAATCCACCAGTCATACAAGGGCCAAGTTTGAAGACCCCTGCTTTAGTGTGTTGGGCAAACACAGCCAGGGACCTTGAACTGACCCATTTATACGTGGTGTGCAAAGATCTGGTCAAGATGGTGGCCTCCCTGCTCACCTAAACTTTCTGGATCTCATCACAAGCCGGAGACGAACTCCTTGTGTGTTCAATCACACTTGGCCAATAAAGAATTCTATTCTATTTGTGTGTTTCAGAGGACATCCCTTGCCTGCATCTGAAAGCCCTGTCCTGTCCTAAGGTACATTCTGCTATCACAGCACTGCTGGTTAAAGGTATTCTTGTGGCCCACGTCTTAAAGAACTTGGAAACTGGGAGGCAACCCAGTCACATCCCAGGAATTAGCATCTCTTCCCAGGAGCTGAGTTGCACCATCCAGTCCTTACAGGACCTGCTCCATCAGCGTGGAATAGCTATTATGCTTAAGATGGAACAACAGCAAGCAGGACCACAGGACACTAGTTACGCCTAAAGGACTTTTAATAAAACTTTTTTTTTTTTAAAAAAAGAAAGTCATGGGTACATCCCCAAATTAATCCATTCCTTATAGGAATAGCAGAACAACAAGAGTTGAAAGGGACCTTGGAGGTCTTCTAGTCCAACCCCCTGCTCAGGCAGGAGAACTACCATGTGATAGTCCTCATTTTATAACATTTAATAACCGTTCAAAATTAAGACAGCCCTGGAATAGTGACTTGCGACCGGTCCTTGCAGTTATGACCGTGTCTCTGCGGTCATAGGATTAAAATTTGGAGTCGGAGAATAACAAGAGAGTAACTCTTGTTATTCTATTCTAGTCCATCTAGTTCAATTCCCCCCCCCCAAGTAGGAGACCCTTCATCATTTAACGACAGATGCAGCATATTGGGGTCTCGTGACTGCCATCTGCAACCTTCCCAGGGGGCTGCAAGAGGTTAATGGGGGGGGGGGGATTTGATTAATGACTGCAGCAAAGGTCTCAAAATCAGGAATGACTCACTCCTGGGAGGGGGGGGGAGAGTTTTTGGAGAGAAACTATACTGTCAACTAAATAAACAGCAAAAAAATTAGGCTTGCCCACTGGAACAAATAAACAGCACTTTAGTCCTGCTGTGGAGTCTACATCGCCTTGATTAGTTTTCCATTTGCTCTCAACCTGTGTTCTCTTGCTGAGCTGAATGATTTGAAGGAGATAATAGCTTTATTTCGAAACTGGCTTTTGTTACTGCTGACAGAGGTGGCTAGGATTTTTTTGTTTTGTTTTTTAAAGGGAGGCATATAAAATGAAATAAAAAAATCATGGAACCTAACCCTCCATACTATGCATTCATGAGGTAGCCATCTAGCCTTTCCCCCCCAAAATATCCAGACACGGAAGACCGTCAACCTCCAGAGGTAATCCACCGCTGTGGATGATCACCAGGAAGGCCTTCCTTCCACAAAAATCTAAGCTACATTGGTTGATTCTAGGTGCCATCAAGTTGTTGCTGATTTAGTGATCGCATAGATTTTCTCCACATCCCTAGTCTGGTCCTTCAGCTCTTCCAACGGTGCATCGACCAACTTTGTATTGTAGCTGAGTCCATCTTATTATTGGCCATCCTCCTCTTCTCAAAAAACAATGGATGGAAACTAATCAAAGAGACACCTAGCCTAGAATTGAGGAGGAATTTCTAGACAGCGAGAACAATTAACCAGTGGAACAGCTTGCCTCCAGAACTTGTGGGCGCTCCATCACTGGAGGTTTTTCAAAAAGGAGATTGGACAACCACTGGTCTGAAATGATCAAAAGTTCAAAAATTGGCGTGGTTTAAATGAAGCCAAGAGACAAGTGACTTAATAAGCAGGCAACGTTGGTTTTATTGTCAGCATCCAGGCCGGAGAGCTGAGGAATTCCAAAACCAGACTAGTCTTTGGCTGCCAGGGCACACACAGCGAGACATTGAAAACATTTAATTTAAATCCTCCATCTAAGGAAACACCGGATCCTGTAAAAACGCAAGCAACAATCCCCTACCCTGGCCACCTCTGCATTAATTTTATCCTACAGATCAGGGGTTTCCAACCGTGGCCATTTTAAGACAACCTGTGGACGTCAACTCCCAGCATGGCTAACTGAGAAATTCTGGGAGATGAAGTCCACAGGTCTTAAATTTGTTAAGGTTGGATCCCCCCGATATAGACAGTGTACGAAGGAATTTCGAGAATTAACAGCTCACAGGAAGAGAAGTTCATTTACACGGACATTCAGGAAAGGAGAAAGGAAGAGTAGTTATCGTCTCCATCTGGACCACAAATACGAGTTCTCCCTTAGTGCTACCTCCAAGTGTCTGCACCAAAATTCTTCTGGACCAACCAGCAGCAGCAGCACCCAACCGGGTGTGCCTTGACTTTGTCCATCCTCTAATCCCCACCACAAAGCACAGGTTGTATTTAGCCAACCTGCAGCAGGCAGGTGATAATTTGGGGAAGCAGGTGAGTGGACAGGGCAGGAGAAGACCGTCCCCGAGAAGGAAAGAGACACAAGATGCAAAAAAACTTTGGCACTGATTAGTGGAAATGTCCCGACTTGGCACCAAGGCAGAAGAGACAACGGGGCTGCCTTCCCCTTCTTAATACAGTACAAGAATCGGTCAACCAGTGTGGCCTTCACCAGATCCTTGTTCAAAGAAGTTTGGTTCTCAAACTAAGGTAGTGTCTAAGGAGGAGAACAAAAACCCTTTGAAAAGGATGACTGGGGAGGTCTTCTCTCCACCAGATGTCCCAAGGAGCATGGTCTGAAAGAAGAATCGTGTCAATGGCTCCCTTTCGCCCAGAACAATGAAGAACGCAGATCCATCAAGTCTACGGAATGAGTCAATGGGCACAGTAAGGCAGATTCTGTCCGGCCAGCGTGAAGGGAACGTTCCTGTAGGTTCCAGATAGAGACCAAGGGGAAAAGAAGTCCCCAATATATATATTAAAAAAAAAAAACAATACATTCATCTGAACATAAAACCCAAAGTGACAAGCACAAAGGGTGGGGAGGCACATAAAATCCAAAGTTTGGGAGCGAGAAGAAGACTGCAATTTCCAGATGAGCTGATCCTACTTGCCAAGGCTTAGCATCTCCATTGTAAAAGATCAGCGGTCACTACTATTTCTCTAGGGAGAAGATACATGAATGTCCAGGTATCTTGCCTGCATTTGGGTTATGTGAATGGATCTAGAAGGCCTACATGGAGAATGTTTATCCTGCTCTGGGGAGACCTGTCTATACCAGAAGCCTAGGATGTCCCAGGGGCTCGGAGGGGTAGACTTGATCATGAAGAACTGCAAGTTGCCAAAAGAAAACCATGGAAAGGATCATTTTTGGAATGTGTTCAGTGTTTTGGTTACTATTTCTTGAAGTCCAGAAGTGAATGGATACCACCAGAGCAGTGGGATGCAAAGAAAGATATGGACCACGTCTATCTCCTTTGGGTGGAGATAACTTTGTATGGAGTCTTCCGTAAGTCTCGGGATATTGTCTTCCCCAACCTAACGCCCTGAAAGAGTGTTGGACCACAAAACCCAGGGATCCTAGCAGATCCAGCAGTTCTACGGACCTGGGAAGCATCAGGTTGGGAAAGATCCTTTAGACCACCTTGTGCATCACCTTAAGTCAGCTTGAGATCCCTTTTCTTGCTGAAGACCTCTTTATGTTCCACCTCTGTCTTTCCAAAGTGCTCTTTGGTGGAAAAGCATCAAATAAAAATGGCACTAGAAAAACAAATCAGCACTTACACAAACACACACACACGCACACCCCAATCCCAGCTACCTGCACCATCTTCAATCTGTTTTTTTTTTTTTTTTGGAAAAGGAAAGACTTTGTGTCTTGAACTTGTCTTCTAAGAGTGAACAAGTGAGAAAGCCAATAAGAATGTGTATTTTCAAGAAAATCAAGGAAAACCACCCTACCCCAACCAACTGGTCATTCTCTGACCCTCTACCAGAAGAAAACTATTTGATAGTGTGACCCATGGATTCATTTCCATGACCCTGTCCTGCTGATCTCCCAGTTGTAGTCTCACACAATTGACTACTACAATGAAACCTACAGAGAGAAGATCCATCCGCGCGTCGTTCCGATAAATAAGTATCATAAAACGTGACTGATTTGGGGGACTGGAATCGTGTCCTCTTTGCACCCGTGCACTGCGCCCAGTGAGAAGAAAGAAGAATGAAGAAGCACACCACCCTTTCAAATGTTTTCTGCAGTTGGTCACACCTTTTTTTTCCCAGCTGTTGCCTGACAAGGTGGACAGATGACCACCCGGCTCACGGCGGTGAGCTCTCAGTCCGTTTTCCAGACTTTGTTGAGTAGCTTGACCACTTCATCGTAGATGATGAACACAATGGCTACGTCTAAGCAGACTCTTCCCAGACGAGGAATGGTCCCCTTGTAAAACCTATGCAGGAAGAGGAAGCAGAGACAGATCAACCAGGAACCCAAGAAAAGTCAGGGGGATTGTGGGATGCTCACCCTCGGAGAGGTAAGCATCCCAGCGGACCATGACACCCTCCCCCACCCTCGTATCTTTCCAGGCCGTGCCAAACTCACGCTAGAAGTCCTTCGTATTTCATAATTTGGTAGGCGCAATTCAAGGTGCTCTTATACTTATGCGCTTCAAGTCCCTGGAAGCAGAAAGACAAGGGAAAGAGAGGGGAGGCTGGATTAGCAATAGCAAGAAGAAGTGGAGCACTACACAACCTAACAACTTATCTCACTTGGGCTCCAGCTGATCACACCCATTTCGTTTCTGATTCCAGTTTAAATTCAGTGAGAATCACAACGGATTGAGTTGAACAACTCAACCACCCTCCTCTCTTTGCTGACAGCTTTCCCAGGTAGAACAGACAAGAAACATGACCAGGTGAGCTAGTTCTACTTTACGGTAAGGCTACGTTAACAGAATCTTGCAAGTCTGAATGTACAAATCTCCCACTGTCTCCTTTACAGCCTGAGAAACTGGGGAGGGTCCCTTGTTGAGTTTCTTGCCCCACCCATTGTCCAGCTGTGGGGTAAGCGGTCCCTTATCTGACCGTTCCCTTGGAAGCATCTCTTTGCCCAGTCTCCCAAAGTCTTTCCCACATACCATTGTAGACCCCCTCCTATACTGCTTGAGAAACTAGGGAGGGTTCCTTGCTGAGTCTCTTGGCCCACCCATTATACAGCTGTGGGCTATGCTGTCTCTTATCTGACTGCTCCCTTCTTTCTTTTTCTGCCCCATCTTTCAAGGTCTTCCCACATATTGTTATGGCCGCCTGCTTTACAGCCTGAGAAACTAGGGAGGGTCCCTTGCTGTGTCTCTTGCCCCACCCATTGTCCAGCTGTGGGGTAAGCAGTCCCTTATCTGACCATTCCCTTGGAAGCATCTCTTTGCCCAATCTCCCAAAGTCTTTCCCACATACCGTTATAGCCCCCTCCTATACTGCTTGAGAAACTAGGGAGGATCCCTTCTGAGCTTCTTAGCCTACCCATTATGCAGGAACTAATGAGAAATTCCCTGACCGTGAGAACAATTAATCAGTGGAGCAGCTTGCCTCCTGTAGTTGTGGGTGCTCCATCGCTGGAGGAAGAAAAGATTGGACAGCCCCACTTGTCCAAAATGCAACCAGGTCACCTGCCTTGAGCAAAGGGTTGGATGAAAAGACCTCTGAGGTCGTTTCCAGCCCTTTGGGTCTATGCTTTCTACTTTAAATGAACGAAATAGAATGAAAACAAGAATTCAGCAAGGCTCTCCCAGGCATGCACTCCAAACGAGGCAAAAGGCTCACGTTTGCTGAAAAACAGCTTAGCTAATCAAGAGAGGTTTGGAGTTTGACCTTCTCCTCATTGTGGGACCTAGTCAAAGACACAGAGACCACCAAAGATCGACTCTCTGCATTCTTCCGATCCCTAGAAGTGCGGCTCAGCTCTAAAATCCACGCCATGAGCCACCAGATTGGGAACCCATAGCTAAGAGTGGTTAAAACCCCAGCCTACCTGCATCCTCGTCTTCACAACATCTAACGGGGTGTTACCAAAGACGCTGGCAGCCCCAGCGAACGCCCCAAATATTCCCGTCACAAGTGGGTTAATCTCTTTGTTGGGATTGTCCCCTGAAAGGAAATAAACATAGATAAGAAAGAAAGAAAGAAAGAAAGGAAGGAAGGAAGGAAGGAAGGAAGGAAGGAAGGAAGGAAGGAAGGAAGGAAGGAAGGAAGGAAGGAGGGGAGGGGCTATTCTTTCAATACAAATCCGGCTTTCTTCATTAAATTATATTTGCACTGATTGACGGCTCTCAGTTCTTCCCAAGTAGAACAGAGAGGAAACACAATCAAATGAGCTATCAAGTTCAGAGAGCACCAAGGGCCCTCATTCCAACCCTGAGCTACAAATATTCTCCTTTATTGAGTTTCTTTCTCTGCCCATTGTGAGCTGTGGGCTACATCGTCTCTTATCTGATTGTTCCCTAAGCAGGTCTTTTCTTCCATCTCCCAAGGTCATTCCCACATACCATTACCATGGTCAACAAGCCCCAAAAAAATCCATATGATGCACGGGAAAGACCAATCTATAAGGAATAAAAGCATGCTCCAACACTGGAAGTTTTTAAGAAGAGACCGGACAGCCATCTGTCTGAAATGGTGTAGGGTTTTCCTGCCTGAGCAGGGAGTTGGACTAGATGACCTCCAAGGTCCCTTCCAACTTTACTATTATTATTATTAAGCACATCTTTACTCGAGAAATACAATTAGCACCAACTTTTCAGGGGTGTTTCATTCCACCTCTTTACGGTCTCTTCTCCCCCAGGTTTTGTGAAGATGGACTGAATGAATCTCCACACCATTCCAGAATTTTCTTCTCGCCTTCTCTGTGTGAGATCAGCTCCCCCAAGGAGAAAGATTTCATAGGCCTTTCACACTCCCATCTAAAACATAACTCCCTACAGCTATAGCAGAAAAGCTCTTGTTGACTTTTAGGAACAGAAACATCCAAAGTCCTGTTTGGGTGTGTCGGGATTCATGGCTGGGCCCCAGAAAATGTGTTCCAAAGTTAAAACTGTACATTGCTCAGGACTTAAAGAGAGCCAATTAGAAGAATCTCAGAGGAAAAGGGACAGAAATTAAGTTTTTAAAAGAGGGATGTGACTCACCTTTGTACCAGTTCCTCAGAGCTGTCATGACGAAGAAACGGATGGCTTGGTTAGATCCTTGTTTGAGGACTGTGGCAGTTAAACCTTGATAGGTTCCTTTCAACCCTACAAGACAGGAGATGAGGGAAGACTTAACTGTGGTCATAAGTGAAGGACTGTGTCAACCCTGCTAACATCGGAAGTTTTTGCATTGACAACAGATGGAAATGCAGCCATTTTCTTCTTTTTGCTTTTAGAGTTAGATGATGCTGGCGAGGAGAGGATGTGCACGAGAGTCTAGCTAGACATAACAACACTGAACCTAGTGTGAGAACCAAGGGTGTTGAAATAAGAGATGATAAAGAATTGGCCCTTCAAACTAATTGGGGGATGTGATTTATGACTGTTAACTGGGGGAGGGAATTGTGTTTTGATACTATGTGCTCAGGGGAGGGGAATTCAGTTTTTGGTTTCGATTATGTTTGTGCCAATGTTATGCTAGTCAAATAAAGATTCTTTAAGGTAAACCATGCCTCGAAGTTCTTTGAAGAGTTTCATCTGTCGGAACCATGATAGACTGCCTGTACTTTCTATATTACATTCAGCTTCTTCTAAATAAGACTAAATCAACCAGCTTCACCAATATTTAAACCCCGCCGATTTCCAATTCTGCAGATAGAAGAAGGAGAAAGATATTGTCTCCCTGCCACAGATCCACGTTTCTCACCTTGTTCCCGAACGATCTCCCGCACGCCATGAAAAAAACCTCGGTATTTTGGGTTGGGAGAACATTGGTCATGGATGAACTTCACCTGCAGAAGAAGTGCAGCAGAGGAGACGACAAGAAGCGTTACTCCAGAGAAGGGTTTGAGACGATTCTTGGCACCCCAGATTTGCAAAGAAGGTTCCTCTCCACAACAGACACATGTCCTCTTTCTTTCAAGGTTTTTTTTTTACCTTGATGGTTTCCATGGGGCAGACCACCACCACGGCTTCGGCCACACCAGCCCCCAAACCGGCAAGAAGGCCACGGGTGCTGTCCAATTTTCCATCGGCATCTCTCATGTGGTTGCTCAGGAACTCAAACATGCCAAACCTAGTCAGGGGAAAAGAGGAGGCCGGTGGGCCCGGGGTAGAACAAGGAAGGTCCTCTATAACATTTCATGACCCAACTAGATACCATTTTCAGTGCACAACTTGACCATTACCTACTTGGGTCATGAAACATCTGCAAGAAAACCACCAAACTCACAGTCCACCAAGGATCCCTCGCTTCCTCCTGTTTTTAAGTCACCCCTGAGCTTCAAAGAGCGAGTTTTCCATGAACATTTCAAAGCAATCAAAGCTCTCCCTTTTTGCTGAAAAGTTTCAAGCAAGCTGATGGAGCCGTCGGAATAAACGGGCTTCAGCCACACCATTCTGAGGGCTGCAAAAAGTAAGGTTGGGATGGAGAGACAGAGAACCCCAAACCCTGGCTGACCTGTCCTGTTTTCCCAAGGAGAACAAATATGGACCACAGGAGCAAGTCCTGAGCAACATCACTATTGTAGATCTAGGTTTATCAGGTTTGAGATACCCAGAATCACACTGAGGTCATCAGAGATCCAGGAAAGAGTTGACTAAACTCAAGTACTTCTATTGCTTACTTACTGCCATCAAATGGAGAGAAACCCTTCGTCAGGATTAAATTCTGTCGCCTCCCCCTCCATGAATGAAGGGGTCAAATTCTCTCCCCACGACCCCAAAATTTGGGGGAAGAAATCCCATCTCCCCTTCTTGAGTTCAGAGACCAATTCCCATCTGCCCCACCTAGAATCTGGGGCCAAATTCCGTCCCCCACCCAAACATCTGGGGGATGAATTCCATTCCCAACTACCTGAGAATATGGGGACCAATTTCCCTCCCTCCCAACTACAATCTGGGGCCAAATTGTGTCTCTTTTTTGTCCCCTTAAATTTGGGGACAAAATCCCACTCTCTCCATTTGAGAATACAGGCATGAAATCCGCCCCTTCCCCCAAAATAAACCCCAAATATATCCCATTTCTAAATATTCCTGACTTATCTCCAGCTCTCTTCCCTCCTGACTTTATTCAAATAAATCCTCTTTACACAACCTGATTGTCTCTTCTAGACACCCCCCCCCATCCCGAGGTACACATAGAAAATCTGGTGTGTTTGAACTTTGAGCAGAGAAAGAGGTAAAAGACAGAGGCAGGTTACAAAGTGCCAGTAAGAGCTATTATTTGTTCCCTCTAGGAAAAAAAAAATGAGTGAAAACAGCCACTGCTAAACCAAGATTCAAGCTGGATCACCCCATCTTGGTTTGTTCAGCCTTGGCCATTAAAATATGGCGGATCCCTGAGCAAAGTTAAGATTTGCTTAAGCCTGGATCTGCTGGATTCAACAGTTTAAAATATCTTTTCTAACCAAAACATTTGCACTCAATATCCATTTATTCAGTCACTATCCTATTTTCGCTTTTTCAATTTTGATTTCCCATCCATATTCAAAATACCCCAATCGTGAAGTAGGGAAGAGAAGAAAGGGAGAAAGAAGGTAGAGAAGAAGGAGTGTGGATACGGTGAAAGGGGAAATGGGCGAGCAACACCAAAAGTCATGGGTATGTATTTATTTCATTTTATGAAAAGTATCTTATATATGAATGTAAAAAGAATGTATGTTAACATCTGATAAATATTACGGTGTATGTATGGGGGAGAGTTTGGAAAAATAAAAAATTATTAAAAAAACAAAAACAAAAATACCCCGATTGTTTATCATTTCAAAACGTGGCTACTTTTTATGAGCTGGCTTATTGGTTCTTTTGTAGGAAAGAAATCTTGATAAACCTAGAACCGACGCATATCTAGAAGCAAGAGGACTGCATCTCACGCTTGGAATATTTTCAGCTCCAAAGATTTTGCACCCTCCTTGCACACATCACCCACCTGTGTCCTCAGGTCACACCTGACCCCCCCCCATGTGTCCAGTAGTTTACCTGACAGCAGCCTTTGGTATGGAACCATACACCAGCGAGCTGAGACCTCGGTAAAGCCCTTTGATCCCATGGTCCCGGACTGTCACTCGAACGCAATCCACTGCGCATAAAGAAAAGAACAGAAATATATATATACCCATATTAATAAAAAGCAACCAGCTCCAAACCGGGGAACCGAAACATCAAAATACGGTTTGGTGGCTTGATGTAAATTCGGAACGGCCCGGTCTTACCGATGCCTTTATAGCGTGGTGGGTTGGCTTTTTCGTCCAGCTGCAGCTGCGTTTTCACGTATTCGGTGGGGAATGTGATACAGATTTCAAGACCTCCGGCGAGGCCACCTGGAAAAGTAAACGAGAAGAGGAGGATGAATCTATCCGCAGAGTAGAGTAGAATAGAGTAGAATAGAGAAAAGAGAATAGAACAGAATAGAATACAGAGTACAATAGAATAGAACAGAATACAGAAATAGAACAGAATATAGAATAGAATAGAATAGAACAGAATACAGAAATAGAACAGAATATAGAATAGAATAGAATAGAATAGAACAGAATACAGAAATAGAACAGAATATAGAATAGAACAGAATATAGAAATAGAACAGAATATAGAATAGAACAGAACAGAACAGAATAGAATAACAGAGTTGGAAGGGACCTTGGAGGTCATCAACTCCAACCCCCTGCTCAGGCAGGAAACCCTACATCATTTCAGACAAATGGCTGTCCAGTTTCTTCTTAAAAACTTCCAGTGTTGGAGCATTCACAACTTCTGGAGGCAAGTTGTTCCACTGGTTAATTGTTCTAACTGTCAGGAAATGTCTCCTTAGTTCTAGGTTGATTCTCTCCTTGATTAGCCCTATGATTCTATGTTCCAAAAACCCCATTCTGCAACTTATTTTTCTGCAGAAGCCGAGGGTTGGCAGGCTTGAGTTTTGGGCTACCGAGAGGCATTTCATTGGGCTGCCTGCCTCCCCAAAAGTCCTTCAGATCTTCTCCATCAAGCTAAAAAGGAACCCGTGAGCTGATTTCACATTCTCAGCCCAACAATGAGACAAGCTGTTTTCTTCCTGCTATCTTCACGAAGCGGCAACTCAGCATGACTGTGCAAAGGAAACACACACTGGGTGTCATTGGCTGGCCGGAGACACAACCCAAGGAACACCCACACCGAGGATTTACAAGGAAGCTAAATCTGGATTCTGACAGCAGCAACCTCACCATGACAAAGTAGATGGTGAAAGGGGGGGGGGAGGTTTTCTTTCCTCCCCCAGGAATGAAAAATGACCTATTCAGCATTCAACAAAGTAGATTATTTTTGCTCTGATTGGCCTCCTGCAGACATCATAACAAAAGCTGCCACTTCACATTTTGTTGTTGTTGTTATTGTTGTTGTTTAAGGAGGGGAAGCTAAAGCATTTTGAAAAAGAGAAAAAAAATTCTGCACCCTTGGAAAAAGTGGCTGCTTACGTTCTGGACACAGATTGTACACCAAGAGACAATTTAGTCTAGTGGTTAGGGCACCAAGTTAGAAAGTGGGAGACTGTGAGTTCTAGTTCTGCCTTAGGGACGAAATCCAGCTGGGTGACTTTGGGCCAGTCCCCAAGAGATGGTGAGTTCTAGATCCACTTTGGGCACGAAAACCAAGCTGGGTGATTCTGGGACAATCAGCAGGAGACTGTGAGTTCTAGTTCTGCCTTAAGCACGAAATCCAGCTGGGTGACTTTGGGTCAATCACCAGGAGATGGTGAGTTCTAGATCCGCTTTAGGTACGAAAACTAAGCTGGGTGATTCTGGGACAATCAGCAGGAGACTGTGAGTTCTACTTCTGCCTTAAGCACGAAATCCAGCTGGGTGACTTTGGGCCAATCACCAGGAGATGGTAAGTTCTAGTTCTGCTTTAGAAAGGAAAGCCAGGTAGGTGACTTTGGTCCGATCACCAGAAGACAGTGGGTTCTAGTCCCGCCTTAGGCATGAAAAACAGCTGGCTGACTTTGATCCAGTCCTTCTCTCTCAGCCCAGCCCACCTCACAGGACTGTTGTTGTTGGGAAAATAAGAGGAGAAAGGTGTAAAAGTTACTTGTAAAAGTTACTTTTACAAGTAACTCCAGTGCCTTGAGTTACTTGTAAAAATAATAAAGGCAGGATGTAAATAAATAAATAACTCTATACTCAAGATAAGCAACTTTTTTCCACGCAGGAATAGAGTGAAAGAGGTCAAGTTAGAGAAATTCAAGGCATGAGATAAGGGGAGACAAAAAAAAATGGTTGCTAAGTGGAGTTTAGTCACAACCTTTCATTTAGGGACCGTTCGAAGTTACCCCAACGGCACTCAAAAAAAGAGACATATAAACTGTTGCACCATCCCCGCAGGATCCAAATTTGGGCGTTTGGAAACCACGGTGGATTGATGACAATTGTGGCATCTTGGGACTGCAAGATTGCCGTTTGTGACCTTCGCGGCCAGCTTTCATCTCCTTTTTTCTTTCCCGTTTCGTATATTTTAAAAAAATCCATTCTAACGTTCTTCCTCGGTAAAATTATATTTAAAAGAAGGAAAGGAAAAGTGCCCTGTTTTTACAAGGGGGCAGGGAGGAACCGAACGACACCCCCTTAAAATAACTTGGCTCCGGCACCAGAAAATAGAGAGCGCCAAATTTTCTCCCTGTGACTCAAAGGTGACAGCTGGGGTGTTTTATCTATGCCATATTTCACCAATCTGACACCGGAAGATTAGGGATCTGTCTTCGGAGCTGCATTGCTCGGAGACCATTGCGGAGAAGACAAGATGCCTTAGGAAGAAGACCCAGATTGTTGGGGGCAATGTAAATATATATATATACATTGCTTACTGGTGTACACCGCTTAGAGAGTGCTTGCACTTAAAGCGGTATATAAGTCTCATAAATAAATAAATAAATAAATAAATAAATAAATAAATAAATAAATAAGGAGGAGGCTCTCAAACGCTCCGAGCAGATGCAAAATGCAGCCAAGGTAGTCCCCGACTTACGACAATTTAAGCCCCAAGTTTCCGCTGCTTCGCGAGACATTGGATAAGGGAATTTTGCCCCATTTTGCAAGTCCCATTTTCACTGCCGTGGTAACTCTGAAGAGCCGCTAAACAAATGGCACTGCCTGTATTCTATATACATCCCACCTATTTTATATCAATATTGCGAATGTTGTATTTTATATTCAGTAACCTTTTTAAAAATCCGTCTTCCAGAGGCTTCGGTTCTCGAGATTGTTATTCCAGGAGGAAGTCACTTTTTTTTTTTTTTTTAGCAGCGTCGCAACTTTGAATGGCCACTAAACAAACGGTTGAAAATCAAGGACTAACTACACATTCAAGGAACTCAGCTGTTCTGCTCTCCAAACCACCTTTGGTTGCTTAGCCCGCTGCACAGTTTCGGCTCACTGTGACTTTATTCCACGTGGATTAAACACAGCGTAGCTCAGCATCCCCTATGGATGGGAAGTGTGAGGACGACTGTGCCTTTTCTATCCCATTCTGGGAATCGCCAGAGAGTTGATTGATGACTGCGGCAAGACAGAAATGCATTTACGGGGTAAACAAACAAAGAAAGAAGCATACATCTGTCCTTACAGCAGCGAAGGATGGAGGGAATTGAATCATCCCTGACCCATTTCTCTTTGTTTAAGCAAGCAGAAGCCACAAACAAGACAACAATATATGCTTTGAAGGAAAAATATATATATCTATTTCAAGAAAGGACGAAGCAAGAAGCTCTCGGAGGCTGCCACTGCAGAAAATGGGGAAAAAAGATCTAAAGCAATTGAAGCTAAAAGCTCCCTTGCGGACTCCATCTGATAGGCGAAAAGACAGAATGCACAAAATGTACATTAAGCTGCGCCTCGTCCCATCCGACTGGACAAGCGTGCCAGCTTTGGCACGGAGCCCGCTATTTAGCAAACTCAAAGAGACAGCTTGAACTATTCAGCTTGGGAAAAAAAGACACAGCAAACCCCACCATTAAACTTCTGAGCACGTTTGCAAATCTTCCAGCAGAAAACCCAGCTTCCCCCTTTGTCCTTCACCATGAGGGCTCCTAAGGACTAGCAACTTAACCGAGTTAAGAGTTGGAATCTGGCTAGATTTAATCTGGCTGGGGAATTCTGGGAGTTATAATCTACCCATCTTAAAGCATACTGGCTGGGGAATTCTGGGAGTTGACGCCTACCCATCCTAAGGCAGGGAAGAAGCTGGGGAAGGCTGGGAGTTAAAAATCTACCCATCGTAAAATATGCTAGCTGGGGGATTCTGGGAGATGAAGCTCACCCCCCTTAAAGTTGCTAGGTTTGAGAAGCATCACTTAAGAGTGTTCATGCAGCTTATAAACCAGAATAAAATCCACTCCTGGAATGATGAAACAACTCCGTCTCTCCCCAAAACGCTTGGCTGAACATGCCCTGCAAATCCACCTCCGGGCTTTTGCGGGCTGTGACGTTTGGCTCCATTTCCTGGCCCAACCGTGGCTTGTTCAACCTTCCCCCCCCCTGCAATGGTGAAACAAGCCATGGCTTTGTGCAATGTGAGAATTCAGACCCAGAACCACCCAGCGGTGTGGAAATCAGATTAGTCTAGGACACCATGTGCCAAAAAAGGTAGGAGGAGCGCAATTCGGCAGAGTTGTGTTGAGCTAAGCAAAACCCCGCCAGCCCCTCCAAAGGTAGACACCTGACTTGCCAGGTAGGGCAAAGGGGAATTAAGAGGACACTTCTCCTGCTTCCAAGAGAGACGGTGGTCAATGACCTTGAGCAAGGGAAGTTTGCCAGCTCGCCCCTGGCAGAGATTCAAGCTTGAAAATGCCAGATATAAACGTCACACTTTTCCTCCTAACTGCAGAGGAGGGTTTTAATCTGGGAGGGCCAGAGGGCAGCGGGGGGGGGGGGGAATATATGATTTTATGGGTTTAAAGTCCTTGTAGTAAGAGGGCTTCTGCGCTGCGTCAACAGGTTGGTTCACAACCTTTTGAGGCTCATCAAGCCCCATTTTAAGATCGCTCAACCGTATCTTCAAACTAATGTTTGGTGCTGGAAGCTGGCTCTAAATGAAAGCTTCCAAAACTAAGGGTCAAAGTTTAATGAAAGGGAGGACTAAGGCAGTAGTGGCGAACCTATGGCACGGGTGCCAAAGGCGGCACTCAGAGCCCTCTCTGCGGGCACGCGCGCCGTCACCCCAGTCCTAAGCCTTCAGCTGGGTTTTATAAAACCTTTTTGCTTTAGGCCTCCGCCGCCGTGTGCAAAAAAAAAAAAAAAAAGGTTCAATCAATCAATTTCAACTTTTCGTGGGAAAAAAAAGATCTTGCAAAGTT